CATAGCAACATGTTAAATCCACTCTAAACACTCCAGAGCAACATGTTAAAAACACACTAAACAGCCCAGCAACCGCATAGTAAAACATTAAATCCACTCTAAAGCCCTCAGCAACCCCATAGCAACATGTTAAATCACTCTAAACACACTAAACAGCCCAGCAGCCGCATAGCAGCATGTTAAAAACACACTAAACCCCTCAGCAACCCCATAGCAACATGATTTAATCACTCTAAACAATCCAGCAACTGCATAGCAGCATGTTAAAAAAACACACTGAACAGCCCAGCAGCTGCATAGCAACATATTAAAAACACACTAAACCCCTCAGCAACCCCATAGCAACATGATTTAATCACTCTAAACCAGGGGTCCTTAACTAAATTGGCAAGAGGTCCACTAACCCAATGAGCCCAGTAAACGAGGGTCCGGACATGCAAAAACACCCGGCAAAATAAGTTCTTTCATTTTATTCAATTGTAACCATGTCAACAAATTGACAAAATCTTTGACAATAAAATCTTTATCTTTAAATGTATTCAACTGATTTTGTTGAAATTCATTCAAGTATTATTTCATTTTAGTGCAAATATTCAAATGTCAAACTTTTCATCATAAATAACAGCAACAGGAAGCATAATTTTTATTGGCAGATAATTTTCATTGAAAGTTGTGTGTCTTGTCTCGAAATGCCGCTTGATGTTTCCACTTATAACAACAGCAACAGACTCCGAACAAATAAGACACATGGGCCTCGTAGAGCTGTAAAAATGAACGCGTACACTTCAGTCCACTCATCTCGAAAGATGCGGTTTTCAGAGTCCACTTTTCTCATTTGACAAAGCCATAATAATCAATTCACAAATATCATAGTAATGTGTGTACAAGCCAAAGTTTGTGATCTCTCCAGAACCCGGCTCTTGCAAAGGACCTGACACACATAGCTGCCCGCGCGCACGCCTGTTCAAAAATTACTTTCGGTAAAAAATAATTTTATTTTTTTTCATAAACTTTTTAATAAAAATGTTTAGAGGTCCGGATAAAAAGGTATTGGGGTCCGGACCTGGACCCCGGTCCGCCAGTTGGGGACCCCTGCTCTAAACACTCCAGCAACCGCATAGCAACATGTTAAACATTTTACTATGCAGTTGCTGGAGTGTTTAGTGTGTTTTTTAACATGTTGCTATGCGGTTGCTGGAGTGTTTAGTGTGTTTTTTAACATGTTGCTATGCGGTTGCTGGAGTGTTTAGTGTGTTTTTTAACATGTTGCTATGCGGTTGCTGAAGTGTTTAGAGATGCTTAAACATGTTGCTATGGGGCTGCTGGACTGTTTAGTGCGTTTTTTAACATGTTGCTATGTGGTTGCTGGGCTGTTTAGTGTGTTTTTTAACATGTTGCTATGCGGTTGCTGGAGTGTTTAGAGATGCTTAAACATGTTGCTATGTGGTTGCTGGACTGTTTAGTGCGTTTTTTAACATGTTGCTATGTGGTTGCTGGGCTGTTTAGTGTGTTTTTTAACATGTTGCTATGCGGTTGCTGGGCTGTTTAGAGATGCTTTAACATGTTGCTATGTGGTTGCTGGACTGTTTAGTGTGTTTTTTTAACATGTTGCTATGCGGTTGCTGGGCTGTTTAGTGTGTTTTTTTAACATGTTGCTATGCGGTTGCTGGGCTGTTTAGTGTGTTTTTTAACATGTTGCTATGCGGTTGCTGGGCTGTTTAGTGCGTTTTTTTAACATGTTGCTATGCGGTTGCTGGGCTGTTTAGTACGTTTTTTTAACATGTTGCTATGCGGTTGCTGGGCTGTTTAGTGTGTTTAACATGCTGCTATGCGGTTGCTGGAGTGTTTAGTGTGGTTTTATCATGTTGCTATGGGGTTGCTGAGGGGTTTAGTGTGGATTTAACATGTTGCTATGCGGTTACTGGATGTTCTGGGTGACAGAATTACTTTTTTTTTCTTTTTTTCTTCTTCTTTTTTATGTACAATTTCATGATAGCATTGTTTTTAACTTATATTGCCCATAGAAAACAGCTGCTGAAGATGTTAGCAAGATGGCCGCCAAGTGATGCCTGACCTCTTTTTTCTGAGGTAAGTAGATCTCCGTCTACTTACCTCAGGATTTGAAAGCGAGACAAATGACAAAGTATTTGTTTTTTAATAGAATTACAACCATTCCTTGTAAATTAGAAGCAGGATGGGCTTCTAAACATTCGCTTAGTGAGAATCACTTTCAAGTATTTGCCCCCCAGAAAGTTTATTCAGCCTCAACAGTAAATATGACGCATGCTATTCGAGCTAATGTTTACTTGGTAATTAAACCCATAAACAAGCTGAAAACAGTAAGAAAAATGAAAGAAAACAGACACTATTCTCAAATACAGTGACTCATCTTAAAGATACACCCTGTAACTGTTGGCGCTCTAGTGGTTAAGAAACAGATCTGGTTCATGATACGATGAAAACATGGTTTGGAAAATGGATTCATGATGTACTTGTTCAATATATGCATTTTGAAAAACTTCCAGAAATCCAAACAAACCGGATTTACCCATTCAAACCAAGATACTTCTGAGAGCTTGCCATCTTAGCAGTTGTTTGGGTATTCTGAGTGGTTGCTAGGAAGTTGTTAGTGGTGTTTATGGCTTGTTGCTATGACCTTGCTAGGTGGTTGCTGGGGTGTGCCTTAGATGTTCTGGCTGGTTTCTGGGGTAGTCTGGTTGGTTGCTAGGCTGTTACTAAAGTATTTTGACTGGGTGCTAGAGTGTTTTGGCTGGTTGCTAGCTAGGTTTTTCTAGATGGTTTCTAGGGTGTTCTGTCTGGTTGCTAGGCAGTTGCTAGAGTGTTTTGGCTAATTGCTTGGTTGTTCTAGGTGGTTTCTATGTTGTTTTGACTAGTTGGTAGACCGGTGCCATAATGGATTGGCTGGGTGCTAAACATGCTAACGGTTTGGATGGTTGCTAGGTAGGTGGTTTCTAGGATGTTCTGGCTGGTTGCTAGGCAGTTACTAGAGTATTTTAACTTGTTGCTAAGCAGTTGCTTGAGTGTTCTGGCTGGTTGTTAGGTTGTTCTATGTGGTTTCTAAGGGTTCCCTGGCTGGTTGCTAGGCAGTTACATGTGTGTTCTGGGTGTTTCTAGGCTGATTTAATGTTTTTAGCTACTTACATCTGTGTTAATTGTCACTGAACATTAGATTATTTCACTATGTGCATTTTGTTTGGGGACAGAAGGACCACGAACTTCATCTCCCTGTCCCTGTTTCTCTTCAACACCTCCACAAGACATTCGCTGCCTCCGCAGAGAGGATAAGACTTGGAAATATTGGCTCAACATGTTAGGAATGGGAGCGGGGGGTTTAGTCTGAAAGGCCAGACTGGGTCGTATCCGTTTAGATTTTGTCTAAATTCATTTTTGATGTAGAAAAGACCAAAATATGAAATTGATTTAGCCTCTTTGGTCTTCTCGTTTGTTTTTCACTGAGCAAATAAATTTCACAATCAGAGACACCGCTTTGGCATGACATTACAGAAACACACACGGCTCACTGCTGAAAGATTGCATGTTTTTGCGCAATACACTAATATCATGCACTAAACAGCCAAAGGTCTCTCGTGCAGCGACTGCAACTGCCAACAAAGAAACGTGACTTAACAAATGTGGCATTGCGCCCTCTGCTGAAACTACAGCAGACGTGCAGCTATTAAACATGAATCTGTGGCTTTGTTCAGAATACTCACACTATTCCTGCTGTTTTTTTCTTTATGCTTGCATCCCATAATGCAATGCCCTCAATTTGACGTTTCCGTTTCCACAGTCAAAGTATAAAGCAGAAATAATAGGCTACTGACTGCATTTTAACTATTTTTCTTGACTCATTTTTATAGACTTCAAAACTGATTGAATTTATTTCCCAGAATTTATTTTGACTGGTTATTATTTCCCAGAATATAAATAATGAAGGCCTGTTCACATCAAGAATGATAAATGTGAAATATGTTTGAATCACCCCCTGATTTGCTATTCCCAAGGAGTGAATGAAAACGAGTGAGTGAATTTGGACTGCTGCTTTTGCATAGTTTGTGCTTGCTGTTTAATAATGAACATCGTGCGCTTGACATTTTCGAGCTCTTTTAACTGTTGTGCATTTGTTCAAATTCCCTACACTTCGTTGCTCACGGCTGAAAACAGACACTACTTTTTCATAATTATTTGCATAAATCTATTCATCAACCTCTGTCCTGATCAAAACTAAATTGCCAAATTCATAAATGAGGTCACTGATTTGGGGGAAAAACACACAAAATGACTTATTAAAATGTGATTGTGGGCTGGATTTTTTTTAACCTTTTATCACAGTCTTGGACATGTCAAAGATTAGAAACAACATTGGTTTTTGTGCAGCATCAGATTTGAACTTTTTCTCCCGTTCGAGGCTGTTTTTGCCCCATTGACTTTCATTATAACCACATTTTTTGATTCCATGACACCACATAATCATGCATTTTTTATTGTTGATGGTTTTCCCTGTTTGTAAGAGTCTGTTGGGCCTATACCAGAACCAGGAAGTATGACCATATTAGCCCGGTTCTGTCAACACTGCATTGGCTGCCTATTAAACATTGTATACATTTTAAAATATTGCTGATTACTTACAAAGCACTAAATGGTTTAGTTAAGAAATGTTTTCAACAATTAATAATGTTGTTTTCCTCCTTTTGGAATCCCCTCTGATATGAAAACAGACAGTGGATGGATTGTAATGAGCGAGACAGACAGGACTTAATTGACACTAAGTTGGCAGAGCCTCTAAACACCCGTCAGTCATTTTCTTGGCAGAAACACTAAACAGGAAAAGGTGGATTTCAGAGATTTCAGCAAAACCAGATTTTGCTTGATCTTTAGAAAATTATCAGTCAACACACGTAGAAAGATAGATAGATAGTGTATGTTCATCTAATGGTCGGTAGGGGGAGCCGGAGTCTATACTGGTGTTAATGGAAAGCAAAGCACCTTACAGTCAGCAGCACTCAGACTCAGCAGGATGTTTCCTTTCCTCCCTGATGGAGAGAGAGACGGAGGAGATGCTGCTTCTGCTGTCGAGATCTCCCGTTTCTCTGGCGGATTCATGGATTCTCGCGACCCTGGGATCATTTCATGAATGCAGGACTAGTTTTATTCGTGGGAGCTTCTAAAAGACTCAAAAACAGAGGTCGATGTTGTGGATGCGAGTTGATGTCGTCGACGCGGTCGCGCGCATTCCTACGAATTCGCCGGAAGAATCTGCGCGAGGGATTGTTTTTATTTCGATGTAGAGCGATCATGATGATGGATGCTGTTTATATCGAAGATCGGGAATATTATTATTATTATTAAGAACACTAAATTCAAATAAAGACGCCTTGAAAAGGCCTGTAACCGATCATCAGCTCTCATCCTCATCATTGAAGCATGTAAGCTACTGTAATGATTTTTTTGTATTTATTATAATAATCGCGTAATTATAAACGTAAATAGTAATATAAGGACTTTTTCGTTGTTTTCTTTTTACGTTAAGTGTTATTATATGACAGACGAAAGAGTCGAAAGTAGTAAACTTTATCTCTTTATCATAAAAAAAATTAGATTGCAGAGCTTTTTTGCATTTTGTTGAACGTCTTAAAAAAAGATTAATAACCCACTTGATTAGTTATATGATTAAATAAATATGTGGTATTAGATCGCGATTTAATCTGATTTGTTGTAAATATCGGCCTGAAAACTATCGACTAATCGCTGTGGAGTCGTGACGTCATGGAGGCCGATCATCTGTGGATGTACTGTACGTTTCTCGTAATATTATATATTTTAAACTCAGCTGTCAGAGAGAGTGATGCATTCATCACATCAACTGCTCAAAATTAAACAGTTAAAGCAACAACAACAAAACTCTGTGTGATTATTAATTATATAGAGTTTGTGAATGATATTATTCCAGCTACTGCTGACGGAATTATCTGCGTCATCGGTAGATGGTTTATATGTTGTAATTAGTTTGCAGCCTTTTTTGACTTTCTCCTCATACTGTGTCTGTAGGCTAAAGGAACTTGTAAACCAGTGGATTTGGCGGCAGGACTTCTGGCTTCCTCCTGGCGTCACATGGAAAGATATCGCAGACGGGGCATCAGATGGAAGTCGGCATCCCGCACCCCGTGACCTGCTCATCTGCCTGCCCTTGGCCCTGGGTTTCATCGCCCTGCGCTTTGTTTTCGAAAGGTCGATATCAATATCATGTCTTCATTGAATTATTTATTACATTAAATAACATTAAATTAAATATAGAACATAGTCCTCAGTAGCTTTAAAGCTTGCTTCTACGCAATGTGGCTTATTGACGCAAAACTGTTGTGCGATGCGAAAACAATGTCAACCAATCAGAAGATATTTCATGTTAAACGCATATTTATGACAAGCAATATATTGGACCAATGAGTTTCGCTGAGGGCGGGGCTAACAAGCATATTGCAAATCAACAAAATGTTGCTTGTCTACACCAAATATGCTGAATAATTTTTTGATTGATTTGAAAGGACTCGCCCTTTACAGTTAAATTCACAATTATTCTTGAGTTGTCAAGTTTGTTTGCCAGTAAATCTGGATGGGCGGCTCAAGCGTAGACCTGCTGAAAGGGTGCGACTCTCTCCTGGTTACAACGACAGCTGTTTCTTACGTCCTCCTGAAACTAAATCTTGGCCTTTATTTATCATATGGTCCCCAATATCTGCGTTTGAGTAAAGATCTTGAGTTACAGGCAGCATCAGCTGTCAAAAGTGTATCTTTTTCATTTGCTGTGAACCGTGTCGCACCTTTAACAAAAGCCATTGTGTGTGTCCCGTAGGGTTGTGGCGTTGCCGCTCAGCCGATGGTTGGGCGTCCGTGACAGGGTTTGGGTTCATGTCACGCCTGTCCCGAAGCTGGAGGCGTTTTACCTGCAGAAGAAGAAACAGCCGTCACAGGTTAGTGAGTCACATGTGCACCTGTGTGTGTGTGTGTCAAGAATGAGATATTTAATTCTGTTTATCAACATCAGAGGATCTGATGTCACTGTCACACCCTACATAGGCAGCTGATGAAGACGACGAGTATGTAGCACACTAATATTGGGTATAATTGTGCGTTTTTAGTTAAATATATTTGTTTTAGCAATATTTTTCAGTATTAAACAAAAATATTTTAATTTTTTTTTTTTTTGCAATGCATTTTGGGATTGCATTCTCCTTGAATTATACATTCAGTGCTGAGATGTGCAGGCAGCAGAAGATTAGAATGTAATATGTAATATTAAACATTTATTTAGTAAAAAAATATATAAATACACTTTTAGACATTGTTAAAGATTATAAATTGTAATAAGATAATTGATACTAAGATAATTATAGTATATTTTATAAAATAATAAAAAATGTCATTAAATCAATATTTAAATAAATCATGAATTAAACTAAATAGTTCATTAAAAATCATTACATTTAAATAATTATTAAATCTAGGGCTGTCAAAAGATTAATCGCGATTAATCGCATCCAAAATAAAAGTTTGTGTTTACATAATATATGTGGGTGCACTGTGTATAATTATTTTGTATATATATATATATATAAATATATATATATATATATACACACACACATGCATGTATATTTAAGAAATATTTTCATGTATATACTGTATATAGATTTATAATTTATATAATATATAAATATTTTATATATATTTTTTCCCTTAAATATACATGCATGTGTGCGTGTGTGTGTGTTTATATATATATATAAAATAATTATACACAGTGCACCCACATATATTATGTAAACACAAACTTTTATATTGGATTCGATTAATCGCAATTAATCGTTTGACAGCCCTAATTAAATCAGACAGTTGTAAATAATAGTGTATATATACTGTATATATAGTAGTGATAAAGAATATAATGAGTTCCAGTGTAATTATGCATTCAATTTTAATATGTATTTCTTGTGTGTGTGTGTGTTTTTCTTCAGAATGATTTGGTGGTCCTGGAGAAGCGCTGCGGACTCACACAGCGCCAAATCCAGACCTGGCTGCGTCAGCGCCGGAACCAGGACAGACCCAGCAACACCAGGAAGTTCTGCGAAGCTTCGTACGCTCACATATTTTCTGGCCGCATCATAATTAGTGCTTGGTTTGCATTTGATTAGAGTGGACCTTTCTGTCTGGTTTCTCAGGTGGAGATTTGTCTTTTATCTCATCGCGTTCTCATCTGGCCTCATCTCCCTGATTAATGTGAGTATCTCCAACGACTTTCACTCTGCTGTGATCTCTAAAGCATCTTACCAGCTCTTTCCTCAGAATCAACCCCTCATGATCACCTTTGCGAGAGAAATATCAAGATATTTTGGTTTTCATTTATGTTTTGTTATTATGAAAAAGTTTTCTTTAAATTAAGACAAGTTGTCTTATTTTAGACTTGTGGAAATAAAACATCCCAAATACACATTTAAGTGTTTATTTTACTGTCTATTTGTGTCTGTTGATTTCAGTTACAATGCATACATATCTCTCAAAATGAGTTTTAGTTTCTCCACTTAAGTAGCAGTGGGATGGCTCGATACCACAATTTTGGCTTCTGTACGATACCAGAACATAATACCTCGGTATCGATACTAAATCGATACCATAGTCGGGAAAAAAAAGTCAATTGACAATTTTATTAAACACTGCTTTAAACTCTCCACTATGTGCAAAGAAAAGTATAAAAATAAATAAATAAATAAAATAAATTAATTAAAATAGGTTATTATCAATTAAAATAGGTTAATTATCTATGATAGATTAACATATAATAATAATAATAATCGGATAATGAAATTACATGTAAAGCAGCTGTCATGCATCAACAGAGAATTATCAACATTTATAGCATTTATTCATCTTGGTTTGTGTTTGGGTTAATATTACGAATATAATACAATGTATAAAGTAATGTTAAAATGCTAAACATGTATTAGTATAACATTTTTAGGTCATTTTATTACTAATTGATCTAGATTAATAAATGCTATGCTATATTGTTAGGCCAGGGTACCAAATGAATGTTGACAAATCTATGTAGCTTAATTGTAATAGTAATATTGATCTCTCTGTCTCTCTCTCTGCCACAGTGGCATATGCCATTCGTTTTATTATCACTTGTATACTTTATTCATTCAAATTAAATTCATATGTTTGTTTGTTTGTTTGTTTGAAAGTGCAAAAATTACGAGACGTAAACTGAATTGGTTCTAGCGTGTCATGCAAGAAGATTTGAGCTTTCGTGTTTACCCTATCATATTTAATTGATACGCTCTTATGTGTGTGCGCTGTTCAGTGTTCAATAAAAGTCTAAATTAAATCAGTTGAATGATGAACTCACCTGTCGATCTCTGAACTCTTTGAACAAGGAACTCACGAGCGCTTCGGCAGATTTGATGTGTTGCCTCCTCCCATGTCAACACATTATTTAAAGCAACGTTTGCCGAGTGGTTCGTTGAGCTCTGTTTCTTTACTATTCTCATAACTTAGGCAAAGTAATGCCTTATTTCACTCATACGGCTCTCTCTCTATTTGATTTCGGGCACGAAGAAATTTGAATGAGCTTCGTTTGATCCACCGTGTTTCCTCGTCAGCGTTTGCCGGTTTCGCGTGACCCGCGTCAGTTTCGGTAGCGCACTGCCGCCTAGTGGAGAAATTCGAAACAGCAGCGCATCAAATACCGAATTTAACAAAATTATGATATTGTACCGTTTGCAATATATTAAATACCGGTATTTTTGCAGTACGGGTATACCGCGCATCCCTATAAATTGGTGCATGTTACTCCAAAAAAGTGTTTTTGTTATCAAAACTTTTGCACATTCTCAATTAATCATTTTTGATGATGTTCTTCAGACGTCATGGTTTTGGGATCATCGGGAATGCTGGCACGGATACCCAAGACAGGTCTGTAACAAACGCCTCTCGACACACGCTCACTTCCTGTGAACCTAACCCTTTTTTTTTTTTTTTTCAGTGATGTTTTTTTAATACAAGTTACAAACATACAAGCATCACAGTTCGTAAGCAAACATTATACAACAAAAAATAAATAAACCAGTGATTCAGAGTTCAATTTCAGTAAACGAGGCTTTGTTACGTCATCATTACTGTTTGGAAATGAATGCAATTGGTTCGCCGCTAGGTGGGGGCGATGATCTCTCATCTCTTTTTTTTTTTATTATTATTTTTTTTTTATTATTATTGAACACATTTATTTACAAAAAAAAAAAACAATTTACAAAATCTCTCGTTGGGAGACTCATGTGCATAACATAAACAGTTACAATGAACAAAATGCAATAAGCCGAACCTAACCCACTCTGTTGAGCTTCACTAGGAACTAGTGCGATACTATCAAAACAATCATAGAAATATATTGAATCATTAATCTCATTTTTTTCCAGGAAATTAAGTATAAAATGTTTCTGTAACCTTTCTTTTACCTTTCACCTGTTTGAATATTGATGTTAATTTAAAACTATAGAAATATGTTTTTTAAGTCAAGACAAACTTCGATGTTTGGCTTAATAAAGGCTGGCGAAAAATTGAAGTAGTTTTAAAATCTTTTAATTCTGAAATAGTTTTATGTAAGTAGATTTTAAAAGTAGGTTTTAGTAGATTAAAAAGTAGATTTAAAAGTAGGTTTTAAGGCCAGATATATAGACAGATAGACAAAATTCCTAGTTGTGCTTTTTTCCTGATTATTTGTGATTTGATCTGTAGGCCGTAGCCGAAGCTCAGTACTGGTATTACATCATGGAGTTGTCCTTCTACCTCTCGCTTCTGCTCTGCGTGTCTGTGGACATAAAGCGCAAAGTAAGTTTGACTCCTTCAGCATGAACTTATAAGGATCTAATAAGTGATGAATTGTGCTTATGTGTTTTTGTCCTGGATTTTTAGGACTTCAAAGAGCAAATCATTCACCACATCGCCACCATTTTCCTCATCGCGTTCTCGTACTGTGCCAATTATGTCCGAGTGGGAACCCTGGTGATGCTCGTCCACGACTCCTCGGACTTCCTGCTGGAGGTAAAGCGAGGAATTTGATTGGCTGTTCTGTGAGTCTTAGTGAATACAATTGAAACAATAGTTTTATGGCCCCAATTGGCACTTTAAAACGGACATTAAAATGTGCACAAAATTCATCGTGAAAATAGTTTAAATCTTGTCAGATTTATTTTAGTTTCAGGGTTTTTTTTTGTTTCAGGGGTAAATAAATACCAGGAAATACATTATAGATTCAAAAATATTATTTTTTTCCTTAACCCTTTCACACGTAAGTTTAAAATATTCTAACTGACCCCCCAGCGTGAGTTTTTCAAGGCGACCGTTATTTAGAACTTGCCACTTTAATGTTTCCATGGTGACGCGTCATTGCTTGTCACGTGACACAGCACAACCAGAACAGAGCGCGGAATGAATGATGATCTGCTTTTATGTCATTTTTCCTTTTTTATTAAAAATATTCAAAAATGTATTAGCTATATCATGAAACACTGATATTCCGATTGTCAAATATGTGCAAGTGGATGGGTTTTGTTGTTTAGACATCTTTATAACGATCGCGTTAGTTGAGCTGTATGCACAACGGGCGGCGCCATTTTAGTTTCGTTTTCAGTTCAGAGAATCGGATCTGTTGGATTTATTACGTCAATTCATCCACTTCTCACGAAATACATGATAGTAAGTGGCTGGTGAACTGGGAGAAGAATAGGATCAAATGTTAAGCTACTTACACAATGTGTATCTGATATGAATAAAATGTGTCGTCTTATTATAATTGAAAGGATTATTATTGCCGCTCCCATAGACATCTGTATGTATTTTACAAACTCAAAATCATTGTTTTGCTTGTACATATGTGTATTTAAATGTCTGAAACCTAAAATAAACATTATGTGGTTGAAAACACTCAATAGTTGTGATATATGACAGCACTGAGTGCGTCTGTCTCTGGCTGAGCGCCAGCCAACGCGCGAGAGCAAGTTTGAATTTAGCAGTTGCTGACGTGTGCACTGAACGTTCTAATCACACCGGTGTGATCGTACGCTCCAGGGACCAGCCAAGACTGATCACACCGGTGTGATCGTACGCGTGAAAGGGTTAATAGTAACAGAAACGCATAAACGACCTTGACTTCCATCAGTTTATCGCTCACATAAATAACCTTAAAATGTCATCTTTGTTTAATTGTTGATTTGCAGTCTGCCAAAATGTTCAATTACGCTGGATGGAGGAAGACCTGCGATGCCCTGTTTGTCATTTTCGCCGCGGTTTTCCTGCTAACTCGCCTCGTGGTTTTCCCGTGCAGGTAACTTCATCGCATCATATATGAAGGCACATTTAAAGGAGTAGTTCACTTTAAAAAAAAATTTTGCTGATAATTTACTCACCCCCATGTCATCCAAGATGTCCACGTCTTTCTTTCTTCAGTGGAAAAGAAATTAAGGTTTTTGATGAAAACATTCCAGGATTTTCTCCATATAATGGACTTCAATGGGGACCAAACGGTTCAATGTACAAATGAGAGTTTCAGTGCAGCTTTAAAGGGCTTTAAACGACACCAGACGATGAATAAGGGTCTCATCTAGTGAAACGATTGGTCGTTTCAAAAATAAATAAAAAAGTTTAAGTTTTATAAGCACAAATGCTCGCCTTGCTCTTTTCTGTGATGCGCGTTTGTGACTCCTTTTTAAACTCGTTTCAAATCTTTTTTCGAGTCATGAGCGATGGTTTCGCTTGATAAGACCCTTATTGATCGTCTGGAATCGTTTAAAGCCCTTTGAACAGTTTGCACTGAAACTCTCATTTGGACCTTGAACCGTTTGGACCCCATTGAAGACCATTATGTGGAGAAAATTAATTTCTTTTCGACTGAAGAAAGAAAGACATGGACATCTTGGATGACATGGGGGTGAGTAAATTATCAGCTAAAGTTTTTTAAAAGTGAACTACGGTTTTTGAATACATTCTCAGATGTCCAGATGGCTTAAAACATTACTTATAAACTTAATTTCCAGAGTTATCTACACAGCTGTGGTGGATTCTTTGGACGTCTTTCCTCCGTACTCCGGTTATTATTTCTTAAACGGCCTATTGCTGGTCCTTCAAGCACTGCACATCTTCTGGGCTTGGTTGATTCTTCGAATGGTTCACAAATTTGTATTTTTGGGCAAAGTAAGTATCAAAGTCGCCATGTCTTTAACTTTTTTTCTAAGTGTTACGGAATGGTCATTTAAGAAACGTCAACGTGTTTTTAAGGTGGAACGCGATGAACGGAGTGATGAAGAGAGTGAGGTTGATGAAGATGACGTTGGAGAAGAAGAGTGCAGTAGGGAGCAGAAAAAGGGTGCATTTAACTCAAAATTGGCATCATTGGCCAATAACTGTGTTTTGAACAATTTAACCAATCAGAGACGAAAAATGAATAGCAGAATGCCTAAAGCCAGATAGAAGCTACTTTACTGTATGTATTTTTTATGTTTAAACATGTTAAATCACCTCCACTCCTCTTGGTTTATCTTGTTTGTCAAGATCCAACTTTGATTTGACAATGTTTTGGTTGTGTGATATGGAGAACCTAATGCACTGATTGCGTAGAATAAATACTACTTGTTTGTATTATTAAATTACCATTAGAGTATATTTGATATGGGTTCAAAGCGCTGTCTTTAATTGGTTTAATTAAAGTTAGACTAATTAATCAAACAGATTGGGTGCATAAAAAAGATTCACAAATACTTATTGAACTGTTTAAATTAGGTTGCTAATGTGTGGCGACTGTTCGTTAGACTGTTAAGTTAACAAAAGTCCGCTCTCCTGACGAGAGATACCCATAATATTTAGTGGCATTCTTTTTAAGTATTTTTAATAGAAGAAAACATGGATATTTTAGTCTTCTAGGTTGTATGAAAGTGTAAGCTCTGTGCTTGTTTTTCTAAACGGGCATTTGTGGTCCGCTTAGAAAAGACTTAGAGCGCCATCTATTGGTGAAATATCCAATCGTCTTTGTGATTTTGCTACTGTTGCAAGGAACTACTGGGGCTTGTTGTTTTGTAAGATAGTATTTTTTGTTGTGCATTGCCTTATTATACAAGAAATGCGATGATTTGTGCATAGAAGTGGGCAGTGGGATTTGAGGACTCCTATGTAGACCCCTTGATTATTGAATCTTCTCCAAGGGCTAAATGTTTTTGTTGTTCTTCATAGGGCTGGAAATCTATTAATGTTTAGAATACGAGTTGTTTATTTGCACAATATCCATAAACTGAGCCTTTTGTCTGAAATCTGTGCATCTGTCCCACACTGTTTGACTTTTGTTTTAAAATGACCTGAGATTGTTTTTGTATGTTTAGTTATTGGGATTTTACTAACACACTGCAGATGTTGTATAACTTGTAACGACGACAGAAGTGGGATATATTATGAAATAAGAACTTCCATCTTCGATATTGTGTTATTATTGCATACTTGTTTCTCACTCCCCCATTTTCTCTGACCTTTTGAATAACAATAAGAACAATAGAGTGCCGAAGTGATGACGTCACTTTGTAGGACAACTCGGAAGCTAGCGGCGCATGGGTTCCCTCGGTCAAAAAGCAATGCATTTTCCCCACAGACTTGCAGAAAATCGCAAAAAATAAGATCTGTGTTTAACAAAGGGTTGTGACCCTTACACGTTTTGTCTAGCAAGATAATCTTTACAAGTTAATCCAAAATTTATACATTTTAAAGCCTATATAAAGATTTTTAAAAAACACAATCAGACACAATAAAGTTTAAAAAACCATAAGCAGGTTTAAACAGTGTGCTCTATGTCATAGATCAAAACGAGAAAATATTTAGAGGCTTTGTTCACCACAGACCTTATTTCAGGCGATTTAGCAAAAACCCATTCAAAAATCCCATAGGCTTTAGAGCGAGGGAACCGTAGTGCTAAAATGCTAACTCACTTCCGCGTTTTGCCCTACAGAGTGACGTCGTAACTTCGGCACTCTATGATCCTCACATAAATAATTATCCCCAACCTTGCTCAACAAAATTTGGTTTATTGTGTCATTTGGCTAAAAGAACCGTGGCTTCAGAAGGGATTCACACGCATCGTGACTGAACCTCGTATGGGTACAGGGCAAGGTATTGTATCATCAATTTCTAAGCAAGTGTCAATGTAAGGGTCCAGTAGGATCATGTTAGGGAATGTTTTGTTAATCTTCCTCTCGCTTAGTATGTAAATCTGCCCGTTTACTGTGGCACAGCCTGTGAAGAATTTGTTGTCCAGACAGTCCTCTTGAAGAATGGTCCACTCGTCTGTGTCGATGTCTAAGCGCAGAGCCTGTCCTCCCAGCAGATAGAGGGCACCATTGAGCTCTGTTGCGAGAAGGTCGTAACTGGGAAAGAAGTACATGTGTACAGAACTGATACTGGACTGGTTTAAGTGGCACACAGGAGTGGGAAACTCTGGCCCTCGAGGTCCATTGTACTGCAATGTTTACCTTCAATCCTAATCAGTTTTCAAGTAATCCTGATTTATCCGACCGTGAGAGCCAGAGTTGCCCTACTCTTCCCTTAAACAAATTGGACAAAATTTAGTTTACTCACCGTGGGAATGGAGAATATGATACCACATCCCATTGGTCAACCTCTGGTCTGTACCTCTGAATCCCACTGTAAACGTCGCCATTCGCATCCAGACCACAGGCCATGTAAATACAAGTCCCCAAACTGACAATAGCCGCCCTTTCCACAGCCCTCACCATGGGACTGACGGCATCCCATTCTTCTGCTCCCAGAACCAACCTCTCAACGTCAGCCACGGGTCCCTCATCCGTGCTACCGCCAAACACAAACAGCTGGAACTCCAGAGCCGCTGAGCAGTGGCTGTGTCTGGACTTTTGCATCGCCGGGCCATCCACCCACTGCTCATTGGCACATTGATAAATGCTCACCCAATCCACGTTGTACCACAACACATCCCGAAAGTAGCCTCCAGTCACTACTATGCAGTCCCCTTAGAGAAAGAAATAGCGTTGGTGAGGACCGTAAGACAAAGAATGCGTAATAACATCCCTATTCTGATACTAGAGATCTACCTTAAAGCAAAGTTCCCAAATCAAACACCTAAACAAGCTCATTCAGATCGTTACAAAACAGGTGTATGGGAGCAGGGTTGGAACTGAACTCTTCTGAAAGGACCTTTTCTTTTGCAGGGATGGATGGGATTGGTACCATCCACTGTAGGGGTGAAACTGATACTACAACTGCATTTCTTTCTTATCATGTCCACAGAGAACAAATAAAGTTGTTTAACTTCAAGTATGTCTGCACAATAATTGATAATAGTTCTGGTTGGCTATTTAGCCTGGTTAACGCCAGATCATGCATCATTAGCCGCGTTTCCACAGCAATTACCAGGAACTATTTGTCCCAGGAACTTTTTTCACAGGAACTTTTTTCCCCCAGACCGCTTGCTTACTGCGTTTACACCGCGAACTAAAGTACCGGTCCGGGGCGGGAAGATTAGTAGTGACGTTGAACTGCGTGCCACTGCTCTTCCCAAGCCTGCGAGTTTGTTTTGAGTTTTGTATGGAGGAGATTCAAGCTGTGCTGCTTTTGTGTGCGATTGGTTTACTAACGAGGTAATTAACAAAACGGCAGAAAAGAGACGAGCACCCAAAGCGTATTCAGAAAGCTCGTAATGCTAGATATAAAAGTAGACGTTTGTTATCAGCGGACATTGACCGTGAGATGGATGAGACGAACGCGTGCCATCGGGCAGAAAGAATAGCGTGGTGAGAACCAATCAGCATGTTCAGCACACAAGTCCCACCCCGAAAGTTCCTGAACTCTGAAAAAGTACCACCTCGCCAGCAGGGACTTTCTTGGAAACACACTGAGTACCACCCCAAAGTTCCTAGTTCCTGGGGAAAGTTCCTGCGGTGGAAACGCGGCTATTGAGAATGAGATGTAAATTTTCTCGTATTTGAGGCGTGGTTTACGAATGCCAGAGCCGTATTATTGGTTGCTACGAATGTCTATCAAATGCGCCTGTGCTCCCTCCCCGTTCTGTGATTGGTTCCCTATTTCAGGGGAAAATTTGGTTCATGGTATCCAGACTGCCTAGCAGCGCGAATAAAGTCGCGCTGCGGCAAGGCATAATGGGGAAACCCAGGCTAGTTGGCTGTTCATATCGCAAAGCTTTTTTGGTTATATGCTGTTCTCTGCTACTACAAGTGTAGTACTTTTAATTGGGTAGATCTACACGAACAGATTTGAGCACTCCTGACATAAAAGGCTTATATTGGGAAAGGCATGCAACACTTTATTGTGCTAACAACTTAAAATGTTTAGGGCCAGATGAGGTTGTTACCTACTGCAGCCACGGAGTACTGTGTGAGACACTTCTTTTGCAGGGGTGGATGGGATTGCCACCTTCCACTGTAGGGGTGGAACTGGTACAGCAATTGCTCTTCTTGCTCATGCGGCCCACCGAGAACAAACAGAGTTTCCCTTGAACGAGTTCTAGGGATAGACCTGCCCATAGTCCAACTACAGGGCAAGTTATCGTTCAGTTTACAAATAGCTTAGCACGTGGGTCCGAACTGTTTATCTTGGTCAGAAGATCCGTAATGTAGGGAAGACTTAAGCACTCAGGCCTAACCAGGCCCACTAGTTCCATGAAGTCTTCTTCCCGACTTGGGTCAAAAGCTGCCCAGCGAAGGGCGACGTCAAGGACCAGGTCTTCCCTGGGAATGCTTAAGTTGTCGCTAGCGAGGAGGTTGGCAATGCTTTCCTTTGAAAGGACCATAAAGTCCTGCTCGGAGGCTATGGCAGGTAGATGGGTCAAGGCTACTTCCCTTGCAGCGACGTAGAGGTCCAGACAGCCAAGGTGCCAAGCATATGCCATCATTCCCAAACAGTTACTATGATGCAGTTGCCTTTCCAAGAACTTACAGCAGAGTAGCCGAGCCCTGTCCAACTGAAGGAAGTCGGCGGCCTCCAGAAGATCAAGGACGTTCTTTCGGTCTAGGGTCAGCTTTAAGTTCTTTGTGAACTCCATCAGGGTTTGAAACTGCCACAGTCCAACTCCCTTAATCTCAATGTGCTTCCTAGTGCTCTCCCGGCCGCCACCGAAGAACAAGGCTCGGAAGTAGGGACTCATCTGGGCCAAATGATTGCGGTTCACAAAGAATAACTCTCCCTCCACCTGGAGCACTACGTCAGGAGCGACAATGACACCATGCTGATCCTCCTCAATGAAATCTTTCTCAGGTTCTGGGCTCCGAACATTGGTACCTACTTCTTGCTTTACACAAGCCATGATTGTGCACTTACCCTCCCACCACTTGCTTCTCTGCTGAAGCGAATCATGTGACATTTATAGCCTGTCACATTCTCTCCATGGGAATGGGGTCAGCAAGCAAAGGAATACAAGGGCTAAATATATCTTGGGTACAGTGCTAGCAATGCCTGATTTCAAAAAGCACACAAAACGCTTTTGTGAATATCTTTTTTGAGGATTTTTATACACTGCAAGGCTGAATCAGTCTCCACATCAAGGTTTGAAATGTGTACGTATGCAAGATTTAAGTCAATACTGCAAGGGGTAGATTTTGGACAACTGAACCGTTCTAACACATATGAGGATTTTACTTGGGGAAATATTGATGATTTTTTTAAAAACAAATCTCTATATGGCTCAATAAATAAATGCCTTTAGAGAATACACTACATGGAGGATTTCATGTATTTTCGATTAATAGCATTAAACTTTTTTGCAATCTTGTCACCGTTTACTAGCGTCAACTGACTCTTAAAAAACAGATAAATCATTTCAAACAACTGCACAATTGTAGCCTACCTTTTGTATATGTAAATTTTGTATACATCCTAACATTTCTTTGTTTGATTTCACTGGTATAATGCAATTCAATGTTCATACATTTAAAGGGTTAGTTCACCCAAAAATGAAAATTCTGTCAGTATTTACTCACCCTCATGTTGTTCCAACCCCGTAAGACCTTCGTTCATCTTCGGAACACAAATTAAGATATTTAAGATATTAAGATCGCTCCTGCATACAGTCCATAGGCTTCTTGAGGGACTGGCTCTTGCTGTCCTCGAAAAGTCATTAAAGACATCGTTAAAATAGTCCAAGTGACTACAGGGGCTCAATCTTAAGTTTATCAAACGACGAGAACACTTTTGTGCGCAAAAAAACAACAAAAATAACGACTTTATTTCAACTATTCGTTTATTTTTCTCCTCTCCGCGAGTCAGGTTACTAGTTTATAGCGTAAGCTTCTGTTATTGTACGTCACACGCATCACACACACATGACCAGCGTCGGCCAATAGTGAGCCTACGTGTGACGTAGCTCTACGCAATCACACTACGTTAACTGACTACAGGCCCATGGAGAAGGAAGTGAATAGTTGAAATAAAGTCGTTATTTTTGTTGTTTTTTTGCGCACAAAAGTGTTCTCGTCGTTTGATAAACTTAAGATTGAGCCACTGTAGTCACTTGGACTATTTTAACGATGTCTTTAATGACTTTTCGGGGACAGCAAGAGCCAGTCCCTCAAGAAGCCTATGGACTGTATGCAGGAGCGATCTTAATATCTTAAATATCTTAATTTGTGTTCCAAAGATGAACGAAGGTCTTACGGGGTTGGAACAACATGAGGGTGAGTAAATACTGACAGAATTTTCATTTTTGGGTGAACTAACCCTTTAACTTCAAGTATAACTGCAGAAGAACTGTGTAAAGAGTACAAATAACAAGTGTAAATTTGTTTTTTGATACTTTAATTTTCCTTTCCTGATAAAAAGGAAATAGATAGTCAAAAGTTTGCCACCTCCACGTCGGGGAATCGAACCCCGGTATTTAATACATTACCTTTTTTAGTTTTACATAATAATATGTATATTATTGTATTATGTATTATAAATAAAATGATAAACTTATTATTTGGTGTTTACTCTGGTTATATTTCATATATATATATATATATATTGGATTTCTGTGCATAGTTAAAGAAAAATAATGTGAAAATCTCTAAAACAAATAAAGGTCTAAAACATTATCAAAATGTTCTTTACAATTATTCACATTCAAATATTTTCTATATTAAAAGAGAACTATACCCTATTATAATTTAAATTTTTATTGAGATAATTGGACATTTCCTACATCCTACACAAGAACAAATCTTATAAGTTTTATTATATTTTCAGCACAAATTTAGTTTATTATATGTAAATCGTACTTGACATGAATTTGTAATCATTTTTTAATCTAGATACACTGTATGGTATTTGTGGTCGAGACGGGACTCGAACCTGTGATTTTGTGTATTTTTTCTGGCCCGCCTCCCTGAAATATCCTGCGTTCCTATTGGCTAGCAGCGCTCTAGACCTACGTGCGACTGGCCATCCAATAGGGAACTCCAATTAAGCTTTTTAAAAGCAATTTATTTCACACACCACTAAAACAATACATTCATAAACCACTCAGCAAACCATTTTGTGCTTAAGACCAAACTCTGTCATGTTTACTTTCTACACATCAGACAAAAAAAAAAAGAAAGTATACAAAACGCTGAGATAAAAACTCAAAACTACATCACATAGTGTAAACAGGACTCTTGCCTATACCTGTTAAAAATAACACCCTTCCAGCACTTTTAACTCTATACAAATCAAACCCATAGGAGCAGGACACATCATTTATATAAAAATATATGCATTCTGCATCCACTTTAAACACTGCACAGCAATTTCTCCCATTTTCAGTTTCTAATTTCGTTTGGCACTGTCTCACGTGTACAACAGAGACCAAGACAACACTCTTTTTTCTCCTCCACTCAAATATGTACAAATATTTAAATTACATGTATGCATATTTTCATGAGGTTTTAGAGACGCGCTGAGACACTCGATCACATTCAGTTGCTTCACTACATACATTACCTACGATTGTTGCAGCATTTCGGGCTCCGTTCAAAACCACTGCATGAGTTTCTACTGCATACCAAACTGGTTTTATGTTGGTTAGACTGTAAACATAACAGAAATAAAATCGAGTTACTGTAAGTAGCCGACTGCATTCTCAACCATCGATACTGTGGGCTCAAAATACTGTGTGGCATCCACTGAATGAAAGCTGGAAAGGAAATGATGAAACGTTAAAAATGACATAAAATGGCAGTTAGAGAAGTTAGAGCACACGCCATATTTATTCAACGCCATTGGCGACAAACTAAATTTGGCATCTAGCTTGACTAAATCGCCTATTTATTAATACTACAGTTTAAAAACATTAATTCTGATGGCGAAAAATGAAGCTTGGCCGGGGTTTAACTCGCTCGACGCACACAGCAGTGATAGCAGCAGAAACCAGACAGACAACAGACACCCCATCGTGGAGGATCGGCTATATCTATCAAAATAAAAACGCTGTGCTGATATTGGCTATAACCTCACATCATGGCTTCAGTTTAAACTCCACGACAACCATCATGGAAGATCAGTCGACTTCCTCTTCGCGTCAGCGCACACATTCACACACAACGCACCACAACATGCGCACGCTCGCATCCTCTCCGCCGGGTGTCCTCCGCGTTCACTCGTCGTCAAAGTTCTGCTGGAGCAGGAAGTTCGCGGCCAGGTTCTCGTTCTTCTCGCAGGCGAAGTAGGCTTGGATGACGAGTCCCTCGGGAAAACCCAGAGCTTTTAACTACAAAACATAAGCAGATTTTAAGATTCGGCAAAAAAATGTGTAACTATTAAAAATTAAAAGCATGTGAATATAATATAATTAATAAACACATTATTATGACAATTAAAATACATTATTTTAAATTGTTTTAGTTCTGCTTTTTCACAAAACAACTACATGACCATTAGGACAATAAAATATATATATATATATATAAAAAATTATGGATACATTTTTAGTAATAATAATTTCATGTTTATGTAAGTCCAGTATATTTATATAGCGCTTTTCACAATATAGATTGCATCAAAGCACCTTCACAGTATCTAAATAATGTAAATAATCTTAAATTTAATTTGAGTTAATTTAGTAATAGTTAATCATTATCGTTGTACAATCATTATACAAAATATACATAATAATGCTATCAAATTGATTAATTGCATACATGTTTAAAATTTATGCATATACATATGTGTGTGTGTAAATATATATATAAATATAATACACACACATATACTAACTTTCATTAAAGATGCGATTAATCACAAATAATCGATTTCAAAATGATTAATTGCATATAACGTAAAAGTTTGTTTATATAATATGTTTGTATATATATATATAGCGCTGTCTAATCATATTAATGTTAATTTTCGGTTTAGAGTTAACTAATGTTAACATAAGGGAACTTACTGTAAAGTGTTAAACCAAAAACTTAATTTATTCAACTAGCTGCCAAAGTAACATTTCTAATTTTTGTAATTTTTTGTGTGACAATTCCACGACACCAAATGTTTAACTGGTCAAATAAATGTGACATTTTTGTGACATATTTGCCAGTAGCTGTCACTGGTACGGCAGACATGATAGTTTATCTTGGAGAAAAGCGCTGGTAGTGTGCGCGCACCCTCTCGATGGCTTCCTTCTCCTGCGGCGTGACCTGGATGTAGTTCCTCTGTGGTTCGCTGGGCGCTTCGGCGGCTCCGGCGGCTCCGGCCTCGACAGCGTGTGGCTCGTTCAACATCTGCACGAACCGCTCCTGATGCTGCGTGATTTGCTGCAAGCACACAAATCGTCACCATCCTGAAATAATTGCCTACAGGCTAGATGCAAATTGTAAAATTGCGAAAGTCTCATTGTATTTTGACCTAGGCAAAATAAACAGCCTAAAGGCAAGTTCACACCGGGACGAATTTCGCGCGCGAAAAACGCCACCTGTAAAAGTGTCATTTAAAAAAAAAAACGCCAATCAGACCAATGAGATTGGTGGTTTTGCTCACGTAAATGCGTCAAAACCCGGGAGACTAATTCGCCACTGCTTCCCTCATGATTTTCCTATGGATTTTTATATATTATTATTATATATATTATTATAATAGGGTTTTTCAATTTAGTAAAATAAGGTATAAGTTGACAATACTTGGACATTTTGTTCTAAAGCACGACATCACGAAAATATGTATGTATATGTGGGTGTGTATAAATATAAATAAAAATAATATATACACACACATATCTTTACTAAATTTCATTTTAGATGTGATTAATCGGTTTGTACACACACAAACATATTATTATACATACATTAAACATATAGTGCTGTCAAATCGTATTAATTTTAATTTCATTTTTGGTTTAGAAGTATTGTTCATTATTAGTTCATGTTAACTAATGTAGATAACTAATTTTAATTTACTACCCAATTGTAAAATGTTAAACCAAAAAAAAAGTTTTTTATTTTTAGCTAGTTGCCAAAGTAACATTTCTATTTTATACTTTGTGTGAAAATTTCATGACAATTTCAGCGGAAACAAATGTTTGACTAGTCAAGACGAATGTGAAAATTTCCCAGTTGTCACCGCAGCACTCTATTGGCCGGGACTCGGCTAAGCTCCGCCCACCTGCAGGAGTTGCGGGTTGTCTCGGCCCAGTTGCTGCAGCAGCGCCGGCAGGAGCGTCGGGTTCTGCTGGATGATCTGCCGCATCTGCTGGAACTGCGGCTGGTTCCTCAGGAACTCTAGCGGGTTCGCCGTCACCGGCGCCGATCCGGACTCACCTGCTCACAGTATAGAAAGGGCTGTACAGGAATCTGGCCCGAGACCAAAAATCACGGAAAAGTGAAAAAAAAAAAAAAAGGATTTTCTTTGTTTTGAACTTTTTTTTTTTTTTTTTTGCAACACTGTGTAATTTATGTCAAGTAAAAATAATGTCAATGTGTGTTTAAACTGTATGTGTTGAGAATATGGATACGTGTTCGTTTTACAATCTGGCGAAAAACAACACTACGAAAAACACTGTAACTAAAAACTAAAATCGTAACAGCTACTTTAAATAAAATAAACATTTACTAAAATAAAACAAATGTATATAAATATATCAAAAAAAAAATAAAAATGAGAAATGATGAACTGTTAAAAAATATTCTTACGCTTGTATTGTTAAACTTTTTTTTCGAAATTAGCTGTGCTGTCGTAAAAAAACATGTCAAAGAAATGTTTTAACTTTGTTCCAACAAATTTTAGAGACGGATTTTACTCTGAGGGGCAAATAACTACAGGTATAAATAGTCTCTAACATTATTTGTACACTAGATACTAAACAGGATTTATCGCTATTTGTACTTGTTGTAAATGGATTTTGACTTTTTGCTATATCTGTTTCTTGGACTTATTTTCAGTGCTACAACTAGTAATTGTTATCCTTTCAGAAAAATAACAGCCAAAAAATATTTTAAGAACATTTCTAAAATTTACTTAAAGATCTTACATATTTCATATTTTAAGTCTATAATAAAGGTTTTCTATTTTTCACCATGCTTCTTTGCTGTTTTTCAACTTCTTCAAAGTGTTGACTTTTGGGGAATTGAATGGAAACCAATGGGGTCCAACACAATCGCATTCACCAAAATGTGTACAGCCTTTCCAAAACACATCTATGCCTCAATATTTTGCATGCACATTCATGACCCTAAATGAGAACAAATCACCAAATTTCAAGAAGTAGTAAATAGTTTAACCAGTGTTTCAAACAGTTTAAAAATCAAATGTGCAACACAATACGTTACGATTAAGTTAAAAACACTTAAGTAAAGAACACCAGTACATCCAAGTGTACTGAAATAGTCAAGACTCCTCCATCAGCTGTGCTACCGAAATAACATTTTAAGGAATTAGCAAGAACGTGGCAGCTGAAGGCCAAACTAGCGTCTATTTCCATGAGTCCTGAACAAATGTCCACTCACCGGCGGCTGCGGCGGGTGTGGCGGCGGGTGGAGGCTGAGGTCGCTGTGGGGCAGGGGGGGTGGGGTTGGACACGGCACTGGGCTGAACCACTTCTTGTGGCGGCTGCTCGGATTCTGTGGGAATACCCTTGAGGAACGGACATTAGCAACTCGTGAATTTGTGTGGTTTAAATCGGAATTACACTGATATGTGAAGTCAAACAAGGCGCTATAGGTCAACATGAAATGTCTTGACCCCAAAAATTCTCTTTTGACACCTGAAAGTCCGCACCAAGATCCGAAAGTTCACGTTTTCAGAAAGTTTCGGTTTGGTTTCACACTGCAATTATGCGAGCGCACTAAAGAACTTTACGTGACATACTTGCGTCCAGTCGTCATCTATGTGGGCTGCATCTTGACATTGATTGGTTTGTAAATGGACGCGCGTCCGACGTCTGCGTGTTGTCAATTCGGCGGGTAACTTTGACAACATGAATGAACAGACAAATATCGTTGCAACTATATTGTTTTTTTTTTTTTTACCTGCAGCACCAACAATACACAAGACTAGTTCAAATACAAATTACAAACGAATAAAATTAAACATATCTTTCTGAAACTTTTAAGGGTTCGATTTCCATTTAGTTTGCATTGATGTAAGATACACATTTAAAAAGTAATTTTTTTAAAGTTGAGTAATTACCCAAACAACATATTAAATAAGCTACTTTGCCAACGAAATGGACCCACTCTTGAACAGTTGAAACAGAAAATCCTGTTTCACTCAGAAACGTGTCACAATCCAAAATAAACGAGATACAAATGTCATTTCATGTTGCCGTTAAGCACAAATATGCATTTAAAGCAATTTCAGGTAATAAAACTCTTACCATAAGCAGGTACTCCACGGCTCTGTCCGGATTGTTGAAACTTGCTCGTAAGGCGGCTATAACCTGTTCCCTCTCATAACCCATTGACATGATTTCCGTCACCAAATTCTCATACGCTTGACCCGTAACTAAAAAAACGACAGATGTTAACGTCAAGTTCATGTCTCCTTTATAACAAAAACAAATAACCCAAACTTACCTAGTATGGATGCAGCTGCTTCTAAAAGACCCAACTCATCTATAATGCTACACAAAATTACAAATTAATATTTTCATTCTTTTTAGTAATAAAAAACATTCTTTTTTGTGGGCGTGGCCATACCTGGCTTCTGATTGGGCGATGGCCTGCTCTTCTTGGGCGGCCTGGTTCTCCTCTTCTGAGATCGGAGCAGGAGTCTCGCTAACAGGAGTCTCAGGAGTCTCGGGCGTTTCGGCAGCAGCCTCCGATGCAGCAGGGGGCGCTGTGATGGGCGCTGGCTCTACAGGAGCGGGAGCAGGGGTTGATTCAGGCACTGTGGAGGCGGCAGGAGTCGTGGGTAGATGGACGGGGGTTTCGGCGAGAGATGTGCTAACTGGAGCAGGAGCTTGTGGAGGTGTGGCAGATTTAGGCTGTAGAAAGAGAAACAGGACTGCACAGAGAACTACTAGCTATGTTTGCATCCAAAGTTGCAAATGTAACTTTTACGAAATATTGGAACATGGCATAAAAAATCCGAAATTTGCGTTAAGTATAGGCCTGTTCACACCGGGACGAAGTTCGCGCGCGATATTCGCAGACGTTGAACGCGCCTTTACTAAACAAAAGGGCGCTAATGTGAGTGTGCACACCGACGTGAAAAACGCCACGCATAAAAGCATAATATTTTTTTTTAAACCACTTCAGGTTAGTTTTTTTGGTTTGATGCGCCGCGTCAAAAACTGACCAATGAGATTGGCGCTTTTGCTCACATGTTTCGAACTTCTAAAGTTACAGTAAAACACAACTTGGGGGCGCTCAAACACAAAGCACACATACGAAACGGCGAAGAAGATATACGGCAAGTATTCGGCTATTTCTGTTTAACATTAAACGCAATCAAATGCCATGGAAAGAATTTACATGTTCACTCGGCTCATCGTCAGTGAAAATCGTTTGGGTGTGAACACAAAAAACGCGCTGAAAAATGCTGGCGAATAACACGTCGATATTCGCCCCGGTGCGTACGGCCCTTAGCGATGATAAAAATAAAAGTTGCGACACACACTTTCGCACTACCGACCCACATAACATATGTCGTTTTTCCAATCGTGACATCACAGAAATAGAAACTGTTAACAAAACTTAGAACAAAAACTCTTTATCAAGTATCACGCCTGGTTTGCACACAGACAAAATGCAATAGTAACTGTTGTCATGTTTTCTTGCATTCAGACGCCTGATGTTTGCAATTGTGAACGCAATAATGTGAGACACTTCTAGGTGGGATTAATACCAAATCATTTTGATGACAGAACAACTAAAACAAAATGTGAGATGCTGTGCGATGCGATTGGTCCACTGGTTAGTCCAGTTATCCAATCACATCGTCTGTTGATTTTTTTTACACGTAGTGGAATTTATTCTGTAAATGTGTTTCTATCACACGTTTTCTTAACGTTTAAGTTTATTGAGCATTAGTATGTTTGTTTATTATGTGCATACATTTTTAAGATTTTAAGCACATCTCGATATTTCCATTCAGCGATTTATATGCAGTATCGCAAACTTCAAAGGAAAATACATGGATTGAAACATAGCTACTTTAAGAATTCAAAGAATTAATTCTGCTTTTAATGGAAGTGAAGCGTTTATGTTGAACATGCTAAAATGCAAAAACCTGATGAAGGCAATTAGAGGATTGCGAGAAATAAAACAGCCGTACCTTTGTAACCATCACCACGACAAAGTTCTTCTCGTCTATTTTGTATTCTTTTAGAGGTATATCATCATTCAAAATTTTGCCTGCATTTCATGGAGAAAAACACATTAAAAATAAATAAATAAATAAATAAATAAATAAATAAAATAGCATCTTATAAGAGATCCACACAAAAAAAAATGTGATGCATGGAAAAGCAAAATATGGTATTTAATATTTAAATTTTGCAATGCCAGAAATAAAAATGTTCAAAGAAGAAGAAAACAAGTTGTATAACTGTTGAAAGAAACAGACCTGCATAGATTAGTTTTTGACCGACAGCTGGAAAAGCATCTTGCCCCTTTTCTTCCTGTATCTTTTCTTTAAGAGCCTTTACCTGTATTTACAATATACAAGGACAATATTTCATCAGATACATATTTTATATAATAATGTTAAAGAACCAAAGTAATTCGATTCAGCTTATTATTTTCACCACAAATTATTTCAAATACTCATTGCAAAGTTTTAATGACTTTTTAAATGACTGAGACACATTAATCTGACTCCATTTAAAAAGTTGTACAAATATTTTATAACATTATATAGTATATCAGTAATCAATAAACCTAGTCATTCAAGGAAGTCAGAAGCATGGCAAGCTGTTTTAATATTTATTCCTAAAATCAAACTATCATCTATATGGCTATTATTCATTAGACACTTGTAGGCCTATTTCAGTTGTTAGTTAGTAGCATAGGCTACTTTGCATTTCTAGTAATACACATTTTTGAATATTAATTTGAAATAGCCATTCTTACTAGTTATCACTTATGGTAAGTAAACTAGTGAGAAAATAAATGTTACTAGTAGTCACAGTTGGGATAAATACAAATGTCTATTAAATAAATATTAGTATCTATACATAAGAACTAATACAATATTTTATTAATAAGGACTAATAAAACTGGAATATTTTATTTAATAGAAAAACTAGAAGATGTACATGCAACAATACTAGTTGGTGTATAGTTAACAGTGAGGTCAACAGGAAAAATGAACAATTTGTGTGACAATTAAATAGTAACTTGTGTGGATAGCAGTGGTATTCCCAAAGGAACAAGTACAAGTAATAAGCATAAGTGACGAACTTTTGGGACAAGTAGCCTACTAATGAATAGAAACCGATGAAATACAAAAGATACTAGTCACAATCGGATTAGTAAATAAAATAAGTAACATAAAATGTTTGTTAGTTTAATCGAATAGGTGTTAAACCTGCTTGCCATAGACGAGAGTGTAAACAGACCGTTGAAGTGAACAACGCGACCGTTATTTTCAAATTAATAGCCGTTAGAATGTGCGGCTCTGTGACGTCACCTATTCTAGTGTATTATTCTACAATGACAGCGGCTGTCCGCGCGCGCGACCCACATGTATCAGAGCACCGGAGGCCGCGGCGTTTCCCAGCGCGTTATGCCCGAGCACAGACATGTTTACACGGGCACAAACAGGCACACTCACCGTCAGCTCCTCGTCTATCTCCACTTTAAATGTCTGCTGCTGGAGCGTCTTCAGAGTGATCGTCAGCATTGTGTTCGAGCGCGAGACCCCGCGAAAAACAGCCTCGGAAGTGTCCTGAATGAGCGCGTGTGGAGATGTGACTCAGCTATCTTTTCGGTAGGGATGAGCGGGTGTGTGTGAGTGTTACGGGAAGACGCCATCTACTTGCTGAATAGGACAAGACACGTGGACGTACAGTGACCCCAAAGAGTCTTTAGACTTTAGAAATATCGGAATAAATACTCGACTGGTTTCTAGAACTTTCCTCAGAACTATCTTCACGAGGTCAGTGACAAACAGCGATGTTGGAAACGAGGAAAAAGATAGAGCTGTCTTAAACACATTTAAATTTCTTATAAATTAAATAAATTCTATTCAAGTGGGCTATTTTTTTTAAATAAAAAAACGTTATTTTACTTATTTTTCGACAAGTATGTACACATCGTTTATAATAAAGAGCTCGTTTTACAATTTTTTTGATAAATCTTAATCATGACAAGACGAGAGAGTCAAAATGACCACAAAAAAGTCCAAGTTATAACATACTACGTCACAGTTACAAAATTATGATTTAAAATCGTCAAAAAGTCAACATGAAAATAGGGTCTTAATTAAAGGATAACAAACTAAATTAGGAAATTTAAAAAGTATTTTAATGGGACTTTGTCATTATGTCAGGAAAGTTGTACAACGTTTTACTTAAATCCTCACCAATAAATATATAAATCATGCAAATTCTGAACCAAACTGAATAATACGCTTTAATGGTTTTCTTTAAGTGTTTATTTTGCTTAATAAATGACCTTACTCTTTCAAACTAAAATTATGACAGTTTAAAATCCACATACTGAGGGAAAATGTAGGAAAAATGACCCAGACAAGGATTTAAAAATAAATCATTTATTTAAAAAAGTGCAAATCCAACATATGATCAACATCAGAATTTTCCCCTTGCACGCCTCGAGACGGAACAGAAAACCCAAACATCTATTAGTCTAAAGTTTAACAGGTCGTTACTATGAACATGTTGGGGTGGGGCTTCTAGCAGCAAAACCAAAAGAAATTTGAGTTTAGGGATGCGACATTTGACTAGAAGGGGCGGAGCCAATAATTCACACCACATTTAAAGAAAAACACAACAGAAACACATCAGATCTGCTCATTCAGGAAGGGAGTCTTCACAACTCGTCTTTGGTGAGCGTATCGTCGTCACCCTCCTCTTCCTCCTCAGGAGGTTCTTCTGTGTGCTCTTCCTCCTCTGGCTCATCCTCCTCATTTTCATCATCCTCATCTTCCTCATTATCATCCTTCTTGCTCTTTTCCTCCTCTTCCCGCTTTTTCCGTTCTTCCTCTTCCTGTTGGTCCTTCATATTTTTTTCTGGCCCCTGATACACAAATACAAAACCGTTAATACGCACATCATCAAAATGTACAACTGAACACATTGCTGTGGAGATAAACCCAATTTATTACCTTCGTTGCGCCCCATGTTTCTGTACCGAATTTCTCAGCCTCCTCAACATCATCGGTGATCAGGAAGTTGTCAAAGATGGTTCCAGATTTCACCTATAAGAAAGGTAAGTCTGAGATCAAATTTCCTGAATCATTCACCATTTAACCACAAAATCTTTACAAAAAGTGCAGTATTATATAACTTATTGACAAAATGTATTTAGTGATGAAACTAAATAAAGTTCTTGATGTATTATGGCATGAAAAAGATCCCAATGGGGTACTTGCACGCTTGGTTTCACTTCTCTTAATTCTGTTAACATGTCAAAACATCCATGAATTTGACCAAAAAAAAAAAACATGAGAAAATGCTGTTCTCGAACGTTTCGTTGTAAAATACTTTGTTTTCTTTTTAATTTGCAAAAATAAACAGTTGTGTGTCAGAATTTGGTAAGACAAATGCAGAAAGCTTGTTTGTTTTTGCCCAAAAAACCCTCAAAATATTAATAAAACCATAATAGTACATCAATGATACTAAAATAACACTGGTAAGATATTGTAGCTCTAAAAATCATACCTAATATGGTAAATGTGTCCGTAACCCTAACCCAATTTCAGAAATTACCACCACAAAAGCCATTTTGATCGCAAAACCCCCCTCAAAAAGTTGTCAAATGTCTGCTTAAATTTTACCAGTGAACACCAAACCAAATCTGTTGAAAACCGACAGCACACCAATCTAAACCGTACCTGCCAAAGATCCAGTCCCAGAACGCCGATCTTCTCGAATTTGTAAATGGCGTCGTCTGCGGTGTACTCTGGGTTGTCGATTTCAGGGTGAATCCAGGTGCCTTTGTAGTTGGGGTTGTCGATCTGTTTTGGTTTCCACTCGCCCTACAAATCAACAAAACGTCGTTAGATCAGTTGGTGAAACTGGTTCCTGCATAATAAACAATCACTTGGATACGTTCCCCAAAAGCATCGCTAACCAACTATGGTCGCAAGTTCTGTTAAATCGTGTTGGTAATGACAGAACTTGCAATTATATTTGGCTTTGGGAAACACACCCCTGATCAAGAAGATCAAGCTTTTACCTTTAAGATCACTTAAAATACTGCAAGTTGCAAAAATAGTCCATGTGATGTTGATTAAGGGCATTAATCCCTTCTCAAAAACTCCAAACCTACTTTGGATTGAACCCAAAACCTTCTGCTGGCCGCCTACTCTTCCGGAAAGACCAGCCTAAACTGGTTTTAGCTGGTCCCCCAACTGTCAAACTAATCCAATTCAACCACTTTGTGGCTTGTTCGGTTGAGCTTAATATTAGGATCTTCTACGTGAGGACTGTGGCTTTGTACCTTGTACTCTGGGTTGGGGATCATCGCAGGTTCCCATTCTCCGTCCATGTCTTCATCCCAATCGTCTGGTTTCTTGGCATCAGGGTCGGGAATGTTCTCGGGTTTGTCCCAGTCCTGAACCGCAGGGATATATGGATTAATGTCTAAGAACAACTATTTAGAAACATTGCACAGTTCAGGTTATGGTGATCATCGATTGACAACGTGCCTCAGGTTTTGCATCTTCGGGATCATAGATTTTCGCCCGGTCGTCCCAATCCTCGGGCTTCTTGGCCTCTGGATCCTTGATCTTTTTGGGAGGAAGCATGTCCCAGTCTTCCTCCAGAGAGCCAGACTCAACCTTCTCGTTGTCGATTTTCACTTCGTACGTCTGGTCCGGCCGCAGGATCAGCGTGTACAGGTGAGTGAGTTCATCGTCCTGACGGGTGCAAACAGAGCAATTGAATTATGTCTTTTTGAAACATTTTAACCTATTAACAGCCATTTCGCACACATTTTTCCTACCACAAATCAATTAGGCATCATTTGAAAGCTTAAAATCCATCCTTTGAAAACCAGACATTGTGCTACCTAACAGTACTTTAAAACAAGCTCCTCCCACTAGTAGGCAGAACCATGTTTCATATTATACTGTGCTATTTTATAATCAAAATCTTTCTCTAATCTTGACGAAACATGTCGTCGGGAATGTCTGAGACTCAAGGTCTCCAGATTTGGCGACTGTTTTGATATTGTTGATTTGTCACCCGGTGGCTATTTTTGGTACAGCACCTAAACGAAACCAATTTTTGTGATACCAACTTCAAATTTGGTACACATCTAGTTTATACTTATGGCTTTGATTTCCAGAGTCCAAAGTATTTTAGAAAATATGTATTTTGTTTATAATAAATTTAGCTTAGTACATTATATTCGCTTTAAAGTGAACGCACAATTCTACAACTTTTTTACACTTCATTTTTGTAAAATGTGTGTACCTAAGGTCTGAAAAAAGTTTGGATCCTGCATTTTTACATCTTTGTTCAAACAGTTAACATACTTTGCATTTGATGTCCTTCTTGATTAGGTGATTTTGGCCTTTGTAGTTGAAAATGACGTGAACTTTCTTGGTGCTGTAGCCACAGATGTCGGGTCCTACAAGGAAGATCACAAGTGTAAATGGCACAAATATAGTAAATGTATATGCCATCAGTGTTGGCTATGTAAATTATTTCAAACAAACATCATTTCACCATCCATGACTTACCGAACATGATGTAGTACTGTGAATCGCCGTGCATATCGGTTTGGTCCAGGTCGGCGGGGAAGATTTTCACGTACCCACCTCCGCAGTCGATCTTCTGCTCGTGTTTCACAGTGAACTGGATCACTACTGGTTTACCCTCATTACTAAACGAGTCAAAGCGACTGGATAGAGCGTAAAACCGGGCGTCTTGAGTTGTCTGCAAACCTTGAAGGGGAAAAACCATTGCATTATAAGTCACCTCACATTGACTATTTGAATTTTCTTTAAAGATGATGACATTTGCATAAGCCATCGAGCTCCGGTGAAAGAAGCCGTGACCTCTGACCTTTATCAAGCTCAGCATCGCCGTAGAATTTCCCTGAGGTCAGTTTCCACTGGCCGTAGTCGGATTTGTGTTTGGATTCGACCCATCGGCTTTTCCAACCATCTGGAGAGACATAGTTTAGTTTAGCCGTTTGCGAAAATAGCAAAAATGCTCAACATATCAGTCATCAATATTATCTATTTTATTTATATCATATAAACCAATATTGGATATGTAGTTGTGGCTGCGAATATCGTGCCTATTTTTAAATAGCTTTTTGCTGTCATCAAGCAATAACTTAAAATATTACAGTAAAAAAGCACTATTTCTATAAGATAGATCTACCTATGTTAAAAGAGATAAACATTTAAAAATATTTATAAGTTATAAAAGATACATATTGACCATGTATTGTTCATCAGCCATTACACGAAAATATTTTCAGGCAGGAATTTTAACATGGGTGCATTTAAATTATGCTCAAGTAAATAATATACGCAAGTCTAGTGTCTTAAATTTGTTTTTAAGACGACAACTACCGTTTAATAGTCTAAACAGTGAACTGAAACCAAAACCTAAGACTTTGATTCAAAATTCATACGTCAAAATCCACGAATTAAGACAAAAATCTGAATCATTTTCACAAATCATGTATTCTTAGCATGACATGTTGTAAAACACGGTTTAATATTCAAATATAGTAATGAAAGTGACACCGGTGAAACAATACAAATGACTTTGATCACAGAAATGCATTAAACTTAATAGCGTCCTACATCTTAAAATACATTAGTTTGACATTATTTCAAGAAAAGAGATTTTTTTTTCACAAAATTTATCGACTATCTCCGAGAAATTGTGAGTGACTGGTGTAATGCACGAAGAGAGATTTACCTCCATCCAGAAATTGCTCTTTAAAATAGACATCTGCGTGTATAGTGAAAGCCAGTGCAGATATAAAGCACACTGCTGCAGCGACCCGCATCTCTGCACTGTTAAAGGATCTGTATTAAATCTGTATTAATATTAAGATCCTGGTATAATAATGAACCGCTCGAGCTAATGCTCAGGGAAATATGGCTCGGTTGTGTTCCTGCACAGATGGCTGAGACTCATTGGCCGGACGCGCAGCCAATCAGAGGAGACCACGAGTGAAGAGTTAGTGGTGTGGGCGGGGCTTCAGCGAAGCACGTGATTGGAACACGGAGGAAGTACAAGCATTACTTTCAAGGACTCTTATTTGTGGGACTGCGTTTTAAAGTGAACATGGAAGATATTTGTGTTTTTTTGTAAAATTTACAGGAAATCATCCTTTAAAATCATCTATTTTAGAAGAGTCCCAAGACCCAAATATTTTCGAGAGAACTCAGTATTATTTACAAAGAAAAGCTGCGATTCCTGTTAACTGTGAAGAAGTTGATGTTATACTAAAATGTTTTCCATTTGATGGTGATAAAAATCATTTATATTTCATTTAATTATTATGATTGCCGTTACTATATTCATAGTCAAATCTCAAATTTTGAACAGTATAAAATTTATATAAAAATATATTTAGAAACAGTATCCAAATATAAAAACTTAAATGCAAGGAAAACTTCACAGCTGTTTAATAGGTACACGTTGTTTTCTCAAAATTGCCTTTTGTTTACCCCTCATGTTGTTTATACTGGAATATATTGCAAAAAATATATAAAATAAAAAAATAATGTTTTACATATTGTTATAGGAAGTACAAATAAAGCTGTATATGGTACACTGCTGAAATATTTAAAATATACATAAAGTTTGTAGTCCTCTGAATAAATCACGGAGAGACTCTTGAACCTCAGAGTGAGAAACTTTATTGATAAAGGAAAGAAATACATAAAATATACAGCAGTTTAAAGTGAGATCTGTCTCTTTATTATTTTTATGTATCTGAGAGAAATATAAACAATGAAGTGGCATTGTTAAAATTTGACACTGAAAGAGAGCACAAACTCAAATAATCATCAGTATTTATTATGGAAAAAAAAAACACCAGAAGAACCTTTAAAGTTCAGCGATTTCGATACTGAAAAAGATTACCATATAAAGCCATTAATATATGTGACATACATTTATATATGCAAAATCAGTTTGTGAGAAATGACATCATCAATCATGCACCTGATGTGTGAATATGTGCTTGATCTCGTTTAGCTCTTCTGGATCTGATGTCAAACCAGAATGATGACAGTAGCCACGCCCACCAGAGCAGAGAGGACCAATCGGATCACAGCTTCAGTAGGACCACAGCAGTGGACAGAGTCTGAGGAATAAACACATCAAACTGACATCAGATCAGTCAATAAACACTAATATCAGCGCTGACATCAACTAATATTTATGAATACACAGAAATATGATCAAATCTAATCAACAATCTTATATTCGGTTCCAAATGAGATTTGTATACGGTCTGTCATCTCAAACTATAAACGATTCAACAGTTCAATATGTAAATAGTATTTGTGTTTTTTGTGAAGTTTCCTCTGAGACAAAGAAATCATCCTGTAAAATCATCTATTTTAGAAGAGTCCCGAGACCCAAATATTCAGAGAACTCAGTATTATTTACAGAGAAAAGCTGTGATTCCTGTTAACTGTGAAGAAGTTGATGTTATACTGAAATGTTTTTCATTTGATGGTGATAAAAATCTTTTACATTTGATTTAATTATTATGATTGCCCGTTACTATATTATATTATAGTAAATATATATATAAATCGTAAATAAGAATATTTGAAAGAGAAGAAAAATGATCTCTACTCACTATAGACAGAAACTCTGAATACTTTTGATGAGAATCTTCCTCCTGTAAACGTCAGTAGATTATAACCTCCATCATGTCCAGTTATGGTGTTTGTGATGGTCAGAGATCCAGTTTGATTGTCCAGCTTCAGTCTGTCTCTGAATCTCCCATCAAGAACATCATCATATACAGTGAATCTGTCGGCTTGTTTATAGATTTCTGCTATTAAAGTCTTTCCATCTTCAAACCTCCACAGAATCACATCATCATCCTTTATTTCAGTGAGATCAGAGTTTAGAGAGACTGAATCTCCCTTCATCACTGACACTGACTTCACTTCATCTGTCAAACACACAGAGAACAAACAGAAACAGGGTTTATCACAGATTAATACTGTTAAATCACTTTATAATGGTTTACTAAATTTATTAGTTTAATATTTATGTTCAAAATAAACAATATAAAATACAAAAACAAAATGGTGTATGAATTCATTTAAATAAAAAAAAACATTTTTGAACTCACCAATGACAGTGAGAAAGAAAGTCTTGATCTCACTGTTGATCTGTAGTCTATATTCTCCAGCATGTTCAGTTGTGGTGTTTGTGATGGTCAGAGATCCAGTTTGATTGTCCAGCTTCAGTCTGTCTCTGAATCTCCCATCAAGAACATCATCATATACAGTGAATCTGTCGGCCGTTACATTGATTTCTGCTATTAAAGCGTCTTCATCTCCAAACCTCCACTGAATCACATCATCATCCTTTATTTCAGTGTCAGAGTTTAGAGAGACTGAATCTCCCTCCATCACTGACTCCAGGACTAAACACACACATACACAGACACACACACAGGGTTCGTCACAGATTAAGGCGATCAATGATTTCTAAAAGTAAATAGTTTGACATTTAAATTTGAAATGAATATCAGCTTTAAATACCAAAAGCAAAATGTAGTTTGAATTATTATTCGTATATTTATCCTGATTAATACATACAACAGGGGAAAAAAATTAAACTGACCATAGACAAAGAGAGTAAAAGGCTTGAAAACACTGTTGATCTGTAGTAGATAATTTCCTTCATGTTCAGTTGTGGTGTGTGTGATGGTCAGAGATCCAGTTTGATTGTCCAGCTTCAGTCTGTCTCTGAATCTCCCATCAAGAACATCATCATATACAGTGAATCTGTCGACCCGTTTATAGATTTCTGCTATTAAAGTGTTTCCAAACCACCACAGAATCACATCATCATCCTTTATTTCAGTGTCAGAGTTTAGAGAGACTGAATCTCCCTCCTTCACAAACTTCAGTCCTGAATGACCAAACACACAAACACATTTTTTTTTCACAGATTAAGACGATCAGTTAACGATTTCTGAAAGTAAATAGTTAGAAATTTTAAATTTTAAAAGAATATCATCTTTAAATAACAAAAGCAAAATAAGTTTTGAATTATTTATTATCTTTATTAAAACATAAAACGAGGGGGGGGGGGGTGTATTTAACTCACCATAGACTAAGAGAGCAAAAGGCTTGAAAACACTGTTGATCTGTAGTCTATAATCCCCAGCATCTTCAGTTGTGGTGTGTGTGATGGTCAGAGATCCAGTTTGTTTGTCCAGCTTCAATCTGTCTCTGAATCTCCCATCAAGAACATCATCATATACAGTGAATCTGTCGGCTCGTTTATCGATTTCTGCTATTAATGTGTTTTCAACTCCGAACCACCACAGAATCACATCATCATCCTTTATTTCAGTGAGATTAGAGTTTAGAGAGACTGAATCTCCCTCCTCCACTGACACTAACTTCACTTCATCTGTCAAACACACAGAGAACAAACAGAAACAGGGTTTGTTAGAGATGAATACTATAACTTTATAATGATTTACTAAATTAAATGGTTTAAAATTTACATTAAAAATAAACAATATACAGTGGGGCCAAAAAGTATTTAGTCAGCCTGATTGTGCAAGTTCTCCTACTTGATATTGAGAGAGGTCTGTAATTTTTTTTATCATAGGTAGACTTCAATTAGGAGAGACAAAATGAGGGGGAAAAAATCACATTGTAGGATTTTTAAAGAATTTATTTTTTAATTATGGTGGAAAATAAGTATTTGGTCAATAACAAAAGTTCAACTCAATACTTTGTAACATAACCTTTGTTGGCAATGACAGAGGTCAAACGTTTCCTGTAAAGGCCAATTTATACTTCCGCGTAGGGTGCGCGCAGTAGGTACGGCGTAGCATATGCAAAGACGCGTCCCATACCGCGTACCCTTCGCCGTCGCCTGATGCGCACCTCTTCAAAAATGTAACTACACGTCGCGACGACGCAGACCGCAAGATTGGTGATTGGTCGGCTTGGTAGCATCGCATTTCCTCCTACGCATTTCCGCACGTACCATCTCCTCCGACATCTTCTCTCGTTTCTGCCTTTCAGTTTTAGTAATTTCACTAAAGTGAACTGTTTTTCCACCTCAATAAGCTCCAACTCCAACATGATCAGCTCTCTTTCAGTCGATATTGTTTGTAGTAACCTAGCCGCGAGGAATCTAAACACAGTGGAACATTAAAACCCTCCGCCGCCTCCTAGCGTTTCGGAGCAGTACTGCAGAGCAACCAATACCTGAACGCAGAAGTATAAATGCTCACAACGGCGTCGCCTACGTGCGTAGCCAACGCCGTGCACTACGGCGTACCCTCGACGCAGAAGTATAAATTGGCCTTAAGTCTTCACCAGGTTTGCACACACTGTAGCTGGTGTTTCGGCCCATTCCTCCATGCAGATCTCCTCTAGAGCAGTGATGTTTCGGGGCAACACAGACTTTCAACTCCCTCCACAAAGTTTCTATGGGGTTGAGGTTTGGAGACTGACTAGGCCACTCTTTGGTCTTGGCCATGGTTGAGTTTGGAGGCTGTGGACAGGTGTCTTTTATACAGATAATGGGTTCAAACAGGGGCCAATAATACAGGTAACGAGTGGAGGACAGAAGAGCTTCTTAAAGAAGAAGTTACAGGTCTGTGAGAGCCAGACATCTTGCTGGTTTGTGGGTGACCAAATACTTATTTTCCGCCATAATTTGCAAATCAATTCTTTAAAAAATCCTGTGATTTTTTTCTCATTTAAACTCTCATAGTTGAAGTGTACCTATGATGAAAATTACAGACCTCTCTCATCATTCTAAGTAGGAGAACTTGCACAATCAGTGGCTGACTAAATACTTTTTGGCCCCACTGTAAAAACAAAAAGGTGTATGAAGTAGTTTAAATTTTTTCATTTTTAAAAACAGGTGTAAACATTCTTGATCTCACCAATGACGGCGAGACTGAATCTCTTGATCTCACTGTTGATCTGTAGTTCATAACCACCAGCATGATCAGTTGTGGTGTTTGTGATGGTCAGAGATCCAGTTTGTTTGTCCAGCTTCAGTCTGTCTCTGAATCTCCCATCAAGAACATCATCATATACAGTGAATCTGTCGGCCAGTTTATTGATTTCTGCTATTAAAGTCTTTCCAAACCTCCACTGAATCACATCATCATCCTTTATTTCAGTGAGACCAGAGTTTAGAGAGACTGAATCTCCCTCCATCACTGACTCCAGTCCTGAATCACCGAACACACATAAAGGGTTTGTCACAGATTAAGACGATCACTTGATGGTATATAAAAGTAAATTTGAAATTGAAATTTGAAATGAATATCATCTTTAAAAACCAAAAGCAAAATGAGGTTTGAATTATTAATTGTATAATTGTCATGTTTAAAACATAAAACAGGGGGGGGGAGGGATTTAACTCACGAAAGACAAAGAGAGCAAAAGGCTTGAAAACACTGTTGATCTGTAGATTATAAACTCCATCATGTTCAGTTGTGATGTGTGTGATGGTCAGAGATCCAGTTTGTTTGTCCAGCTTCAGTCTGTCTCTGAATCTCCCATCAAGAACATCATCATATACAGTGAATCTGTCGGCCCATTTATAGATTTCTGCTATTGAAGTGTGTCCAAACCTCCACTGAATCTCATCATCATCCTTTATTTCAGTGAGATCAGAGTTTAGAGAGACTGAATTTCCCTCTGTCACTGACAATAACTTCACTTCATCTGTCAAACACACAGAGAACAAACAGAAACTGTAATGATATAGAAGAAGGGACTATAGACTAAGACCTGGAATGTTGTCTTCAGTCCGATTAGAATCGCGATCTCCTGGACACAGAGACGATGTTCTTCCTGAGTCAGCTAACTTTGAGGATTATGAGACTCAAGAGCAGAGGTGTAACAAAGATCTCAAGCATGGGCGTCAGACGCAAAAAAAAAAAATGTGGGTGGGTCATCCTTCAGATTTTTTTACTGGAGTAGATTAGGGGCCTTTTCGAAGTCAAATACCTTATCTAAAATCTCTAATGAGTGAGAGACGGATTTGTGATCGTTTCATTTTAGCTATGCGTTGCGTGAATCTCTCAGAAATCAGACCTTGGGAAGAGTAATATCAACTCAAATAGGCTTCTACATCATATACATGTTCTACGATATTTGGCGCTCAAACATTTTTTTCCCACTGCAACTTTGCTGGCTGCGCGTCGACATTTTTTTTATTACGTGCGTAATAAAAGTAGCCTTCACTTAAAATCTTTAGCCTAAGATTGTTGGATAATAACATTTAATTCAATAGAGTACCGAAGTGATGACGTCACTTTGTAGGACAACTCGGAAGCTAGCGGCGCATGGGTTCCCTTGGTCGAAAAGCTATGCATTTTCCCCACAGACTTTTGGGAAATCACAAAAAATAAGATCTGTGTTCAACTAAGAGTTGTGACCCTTACACGTTTTGTCTATCAAGATAATCTTTACAAGTTAATGCAAAATGTACATTTTGAAGCCTATAAAGTAAAAAAAACACAGACACAATAAAGTTTAAAAAACACAAGCAGGTCATAACTGGTGTGTTTTTATGTCATAGATCAAAACATGGAAATATTTAGAGGCTCTGTTAACCACAGACCTTATTTCAGGCGATTTAGCAAAAACCCATTCAAAGACTTAGCTAAAATGCTAACTCACTTACGCGTTTTGGCCTACAAAGGGAAGTCGTAACTTCGAGACTCTATTTAGGTCGAGAATGCAGTCAGACAGGGCAAGACAGGGACTGATGTGCAAAGGAAGTGGAAATCTGGTGTGTGAAGAAGAATGTATGATTGAGGAAGATGAAGGATATTAATTTTCAACCATCACAGGCCCATCAGAAAGTTCTGTGCAAGAATCAACAATCTCCCCCCAACTTTTTAAGAACCACAGAGTTCATAACCCACAGCAATTCACCAGTGCTGGCCTCAATGTTTCAGCTCCAGACAAATGGGCATACTGTGTATGGTTACTATGGAGCTGCCAATGATGAAGCTCCAAAGGCTGATTTTCAGTAGGCTATGAATGTGGAGGGAGGAGCTGTGGGGGGAGGAGCTGTGGGGGAGGAGCTGTGGGGGACGAGCTGTGGGGGAGGAGCTGTGGGGGAGGAGCTGTGGGGGAGGAGCTGTGGGGGAGGAGCTGTGGGGGACGAGCTGTGGGGGAGGAGCTGTGGGGGAGGAGCTGTGGGGGACGAGCTGTGGGGGAGGAGCTGTGGGGGAGGAGCTGTGGGGGACGAGCTGTGGGGAGGAGCTGTGGGGACGAGCTGTGGGGGAGGAGCTGTGGGGGACGAGCTGTGGGGGAGGAGCTGTGGGGGAGGAGCTGTGGGGGACGAGCTGTGGGGGACGAGCTGTGGGGGAGGAGCTGTGGGGGACGAGCTGTGGGGGAGGAGCTGTGGGGGAGGAGCTGTGTAAGTAGCGCAGCAGAAAGCAAGGGGGTGGGACCTGTATGTTGTTCTCGTTCAAAAAGTCAACGTTTTCTCAAACTATAGACCAACGCCACTTTTGCGTCATCGAAGGGTAACGCCCCCTTTTGTAAACAAACGGATTCCCATGAGAACAGAACTTGCACTAGATCTGCAAAGTTTCTTGATGGCAAAAATGGCACAAACTTAAAGAAGTTAACGTTACTGAATACGGGGTTACAGAGGTGTCCCTTTGAAATGGTCGAAAACTGGATTAATGACCCCACACAGCGGCCAAATATGGACTATTCAGACATCTAACGATACCACTATCTCGTGGAATCACCAAGTAAGTATCCTTTTTTATTTATATATTTATCATTTACACACTTACAGTAGCCTATGACAAACTACTAGACGATGAGGCCATGTCACTTGGATCATATTTAACTTGATTTAAGCTATTGACAGTTTTGTTGTCGACTAGCTATTAGAAAGACTAAGCTGTTAGCAGCTAACGTTACCTTAGACTATGTCAATAGCTTAAATCAAGATAAATATGATCCATTCATCGTCTAGTTTGTCATACTGTGAGTGTTAATGAAAAAAAAAGGCTACGTGCTTACTTGGCGATTCCACGAGATAACGTTAGATGTCTGAATAGTCCATATTTGGCCGCTGTGTGGGGTCATTAATCCAGTTTTCGACCATTTCAAAGGGACACCTCTGTAACCCCGTATTCAGTAACGTTAACTTCTTTAAGTTTGTGCCATTTTTGCCATCAAGAAACTTTGCAGATCTAGTGCAAGTTCTGTTCTCATGGGAATCCGTTTGTTTTCCCATAGACAGTATAGAGGTGTTTTCCCCCAAAAGGGGGCGTTACCCTTTGATGACGCAAAAGTGGCGTTGGTCTATCTACTGCAGCTTTAAAAAACAGGTGTAAATATTTTCAAACTCACCAATGGAGGCGAGAACAAAACTCTTGAACTCACTGTTGATCACTAGTCTATAACCTCCAGCATGTTCAGTTGTGGTGTTTGTGATGGTCAGAGATCCAGTTTGTTTGTCCAGCTTCAGTCTGTCTCTGAATCTCCCATCAAGAACATCATCATATACAGTGAATCTGTCGAACCGTTTATTGATTTCTGCTATTAAAGTGTTTTCATCTCCAAATCTCCACTGAATCACATCATCATCCTTTATTACAGTGTCCGAGTTTAGAAAGGCTGATTCTCCCTTAATCACTACCTCCAGGACTGAATCACCAAACACACAGAGAGAGAGAGAAAGAGAGAGAGAGAGAGAGAACAAACGGAAACAGAGTTCGTCACCGATTAAGACGATCAGGTAATGATTTATAAAAGTAAATAGTTGTAAATTTGAAATGAATATCATCATTAAACACCAAAAGCAAAATGGAGTTTGAATTATGAATTGTTCTGATTAAAACATAAAACAAGTGAAACAAATATTTAACTCACCGTAGACAATGAGAAAGAAACTCCTTTTCACATGGTTGATCTGTTGATAATAACGCCCAGTATGTTCAGTTGTGGTGTTTGTGATGGTCAGAGATGCAGTTTGATTGTCCAGCTTCAGTCTGTCTCTGAATCTCCCATCAAGAACATCATCATATACAGCGATTCTGTCGGCCCGTTTATTGATTTCTGCTATTAAAGTGTTTTCAAACCACCACTGAATCACATCATCATCCTTTATTTCAGTGAGATCAGAGTTTAAAGAGGCTGAATTTCCCTCCTTTACAAACTCATCAGCAAACGCTCCTGAAGAACAGTTTTTCACAGATTAAAGCTTTATTTTTTGTTGGTTTGCTAAAGCTTCACTAAAATACTTTTAATCATTTAAATGTGAAATGAATAATTCTGCAGCGGTACAAAGATAAAAGAAGATGAATGAAAAGAGAAATATATTTATATATGGAAAAATAACAAAAAGTACACTTTTACTGTAATGTTTAACGCACACTAAAACTACTGTAATGCTGTTGATTATCTGCGCTTGATCTGACAGTAAAATCACAGTTCAATTATTTCTATATGAGAATAACAGCGAACGTTGATCCTCTCAAACTAAATTAACCAATAATTTATCACATGGTACCAGAACTAAAACAACTGAAGTCATAAAAAGACATTTAAAACTCACCAACCAGACGCAACAAACAGAGCAAAGCTAATTTGAGAAACATTTTGCTCATCGGTTCACTGAAAAAACACTCAGATTGATCTGAAACACGACTGCACTGATGCTGTGTGTGTGTGATCTTCCTAATGAAGACTGAACCTTCGTCACAGTTTATTCTCAAAACCATTTCCTGTAAAACAGGAAGTCCTGAAAGAGTGAAATATTAGATTAAATGTCTATATCAACTGGTGTTGATGATTCATCAATGATTTATGATTTCATAATTGGATTCATTTTATTTAACTGCAATGTTTTGTATGGAGTGAAAGTCTGATTATTTGGTTAATTTAAGCAGGAGAATTAATGAAGAAACGCTTCACCCACAAATTAACAGACTCACTGACCTCATTCATCTGATAATAAACACTGATGTTGAAGCTGTTTGTCCACCAACAGGTCAGACCACATTAATTGAAGATAAATCAGACCACAGCAGTTTCACTTCGACTCACAAAAACAGCCGCTTACACTCTCCATTTAGTGAACGACTTTCACCATTTTCGCTATAACAAAGTCAAACAGTGCAATTTAATGAGAACAATAGCCTGTAAATCTGATTTATTCAGTTGAAACCAAATAAGACTTCAGATTTCCATGTTAGATTCGGTCTTGAATAAATATGATGATAAGAAATGCTTGAGTTTATAACTATTGTTTGCAGATTGCAGTTGCGAGATGGCGTTTTGGCCCGACCACCGAAAGGTTTCAGGATGTGGTTGAGGCCAGAGAACCAGAGGAAAACAAAAGTTCACTTTAACAAGAAAGCTTAGACTAAACTTACTGCACATGCAAGTCTGGTAGGCATAGAGGCAGTTTTGGATAAATCGTTCCCATATATAATTGTTGTGACGAATTTCAATCAAACCATCATCACTGCGTAAGAGACACTGAATCAATTGTCTTTTAAAAGGTAGGCTATTTATTCTTGCAAGAAGGCCCTGAATAACACATATGCCAGACTGATCTCATGAAGTAGCGTGTGTATGACACGCCAATTCGTATTTCCATTTTTGGCGTGCTATCAAGACGCATAATCGCTTTTCGGCGTGTTTATGAACGCCGTTGACTTAACGTTATATAAATATATGACTTACCTCAACCCCATCCCTAAACTTAACCGTCACTGGGGTTAATGGCATTTATGACTGGACATTTGACGTTGTGTACAGACACGCGGAATGACGCGGACGTTAATGGCGTAGACATACACGCAAACACGCGCATACACGCGGATAGCTCAAAATGCGTAGAGATAACACGCCACTTGACTCGAAAGTGGCGTGTATGTTTACACAAAAGTCATGATGTCATGTTGCATATGCTGTAGAATGAGTGAGACAACACCAGGAAGAACTGGACATACTGATTTCAAGAGCTGTGTCTGAAATCGCTCCCTATCCACTATATAGTGCACTATATCGGGTGTCGGCCATTTTGTAGTGGTGTCCGAATTCTGAGTGAACGACATCATTCCCTACATTCATTCACTACTTTTACCCACAATCCTCTCTGAATTCGAGTGTACATTCGATGTACACTCGCTGAAGCCCTATTTTCCCACAATCCAATGCGGAGAGAACTGAGCGCGCATGAAAGTTCGGCGCGAGCAAGTTTAAACCAGAGATTACATTACATCCAGTGGAGGATTTGAAAAATATCCGTTAATCGTCGTTTTGAACATAATAACGGCCGCCGGAGGGCGCTCGACGACACGTCATCTGTGAACGTGAGAGTTAATGTACAATTTCAGTCGATGAAACTACAAAGCTGGCACGGAGGTATAATTACAAAATAAAGTCATTATGATTGTTATTGTTGTTAATATTATTTTATAAAGTAGGTAATGTAAGATAAAAGGAGTTTTATCAGTACGCGTGACGAAGCCTTTTCTGCGACAGGTCCAACTCTCCGACGCACAGTGTAAACGTCAGCGTCCGAATTCACTCACTTCATCTCGTTCACTCCTTGCAGATATAGTGCACTCAAATGCCATACACTATATACCCAGACAGCAAACTGACATTGAATCAACGTGGAAACGACGTCTCTCATGACATTGAAACAACGTTGATTTGCTCATCGAATTAACGTTGAACCAACGTCAGACGCGGCATTCTTCAAAGCTAAATGAAATCGAAAATTGGTTTGCTTTCATAACGTTGAAACAACGCATTGATTTCAAGTTGATTTTCCGTTAGTTTTGAAAGAATGATGCGTCTGACGTTGGTTCAACGTTAATTCGATTAGCAAAACAATGTCAGATCAACGTTGTTTCGATGTCATATTTCCACGTTGATTCAATGTCAGTTTGCTATCTGGGTAGGGATTAGTGAATGAGTGAACGAGTGAGCGGTTTCAGACACAGCTAAGGTCTTCCTAGAAGCAGGGCTTCTTTCTGCCATTCTTCCTTAGATAAAGGACCCATGGATGCTAGCCTCGATTTATAACTAGCTGACCCTTAAGACCCACTTGGACTAGATGACCTCTGATCTCAGAGGGCACAGCTGTTCCCGAAGTGTCTCGCTCCTGCATTTCAGTTGCATAAACATACCAATGAAATCAAATTTTTCCATTACAATAATGTTACTGCAAGGGCTGTAGAGGAAGCATCAGAGAGTGAATGAAGGGAAATCATACGCTCACATTGACGATAAGTTCAGTGATTGGACAATTAAAGGAGAACTCCGGCGCAAAATGAACCTTTGGTCTAATTACACATTGTTACCTAGTCAACCGTTATCTGAGATTTGTTTTCATCATTGCCGAATGTAAATAGTTTTATCTCTAAAAACAGTTTAGCCTATAACGCTAGTATAATGGGCATAGAGTAATGACAAATAAAATTCGCTTGTTATTACCACTAACAAGGCTCAAAATAGCCCCACAGTAACACGACAGCATAATAAGGGTCCCTACATTCAAACCGAAGCATTGATAACTTTGTCAGTGTCCAAACAGTTTAATAAGCAGATGTTTTATACACACAGTCAACTTCGCGAATACAGGAAGAAGCCATCTTTGAAAAATAGTCTCTACCAGTCGATCTATGAACGCCGATCCAAGTGCGCTGGTGAGATGTGAATAAGGTGATAAGGTGAGCGCGAACAGTAGGCTACGTGTACATATTGAAGAGAAGAAAACGGTTCGTGTTTGTGTTTCTTCCGGAAACAACGGACCATATGAGATTCTGCACAGTTCAGCGCACATGGATCGGCGTTCAGCGCACTTGGATCGGCGTTCGTAGATCGACTGGTAGAGACTATTTTTCAAAGATGGCTTCTTCCTGTATTCGCGAAGTTGACTAAAATATCTTCTTATTAAACGGTATGGACACTGACAGCGTTCTCAATGATTCGGTTTGAATGTAGGGACCCTTATTATGCTGTCGTGTTACTGTGGGGCTATTTTGAGCCTTGTTGGTGGTGATAACAAGCGATTTTTATTTGTCATTACTCTATGCCCTATATACTAGCGTTAGGCTAACGAGGAATATATAATTCATTGTGTGCATAATTGTTTAGGCCTGTTTAGGCATTTTTTATACAGTGGTAGAGCCACAAGTCTCACTGTCAGGATATTTTAATTTAAGCCTATAATAATTATTAATAAAATAAGTCTTACCAATAGCTATGATATTGTATAATTCAATATATTTGTATATAGCTGTAAAAAAGTTATTTATTATGGTCTGCATACTGTTGGGTACCACATTTCCTGGTAAATGCAAAACCTTTTTTGTTTTATTTATTTATTTATTTTTTTACTTTAGCTTACTTACTCAGACAGCAAACTGACATTGAATCAACGTGGAAACGACGTCTCTCATGAAATTGAAACAACGTTGATTTTGCTCATCGAATTAACGTTGAACCAACGTCAGACGCGGCATTCTTCAAAGCTAAATGAATTCGAAAATTGGTTTGCTTTCATAACGTTGAAACAACGCGTTGATTTCAAGTTGATTTTCCGTTAGTTTTGAAAGAATGACGCGTCTGACGTTGGTTCAACGTTAATTCGATGAGCAAAACAATGTCAGATCAACGTTGTTTCGATGTCATATTTCCACGTTGATTCAATGTCAGTTTGCTATCTGGGTATTGATACTGTTATGTGTCAATAAATAAACTAAACCCACTGGCCCAGCTCAACTTTTGGATTTAATAATGCGGCCCTCGAATGAAGCTAATTGAATAGCCCTGGGCTAAACTGTTTTTAGAGATAAAACTATTTACATTCGGCAATCATGAAAACATATCTCAGATAACGGTTGACTAGGTAACAATGTGTAATTAGACCAAAGGTTCGTTTTGCGCCGGAGTTCTCCTTTAAGGTCCGTGTCATTTACACACTAACTCCGAAACTTTCATCCGTCACATAAAATTGTATCAGGTTCAGTTTTCTGTGTTTTTCACATCCATAGCAAGCATTTGAGAGATGTTTTGACAATTCAGAGCCACGGAATGACGATTACAAAAAAACTCACACGCAAATTTTGGACTCGGTGTGCAACGACCTTTAGTCTTGAGGGATTCACACATTGTTCCCACAGTCACTCAGTGCTAAAGTCTTTCAATTTAGCTCATAATGGACATTTAGGCACTATCAAATCAAAGTAAAGCATGGTGTCCTGCCATAGATAAGGTTCTAATAAGACAAGAAAAGACCAACCAACTCTCTGTGTCCAATTCATGAGTTTACAAGTACATGAAATCAGACATAGTAATTTATGTGTATTTGGCGTGCTGTCCTCGAGAGGGCTGTGAGCACGGGATTTGGCCCGAACCCAGAGTACTCCCACAAAAAGCTAAGCAACCGCAGGACAGCAATCGTTAAACGATGTGAAATGAACCCCGCCCCAAAAGTGAAGGGCACGAGAAGGTATTTGCAAAAAATGAGCTTGACCGTTCGACCGGGAGGGCTCTCGCAGCGTCCGACGGGAGCGTGGATGCTCGCGGCACCAGACGGGTAAGCTTCGCCAATAGTTAAACTGTAAGCTCTTGAGTACAGCACGAGATTTAAACAAGCACGAGTATAGCCATTCGAAAATCGTTCCCACGGAAATCGACCCCTCGCTGCCCAACGAATGGGGAGAACAGACGGCGATGCGAGCGCGGGCGTCCGACGACGACTGAGACGGACAGACTCTCACTGCTATTCGAACGGGGGAGCCTGCAATTGTTTGTAAAAAAAAAAAAAACACTGAAGCAGGCTTTGACACTGTTAACCACTCTACCCTGATATCAAGACTAGAGTATTATATTGGGATAAAAGGTCTCATCCTCCTGCTAAACTCTGGAAGTCTTCACAGCATTGTCCAGGAAGCAGACACAGTCTGTCAGTTTAAATCTAGAGTAAAAACACATCTCTTTGGCTTAGCAAACACATTATAGACTTCTATAACTCAATGTTAGGCTGCATAGTTTAGATCCGCCGAAAGGTTTACTGTAATCTACCGGATCCGGGCCGTATCCAGATCAGATGGTGGACCTGAGCCTAGACACGACCACAACGCATCCCTGAAGAGTCAGCAGAGATTGTGTGAACTAGACTCTCCCCTCATCGACACGACAGCCGACACTGATCCTCAACAAACTCGAGCTCCAGACCAGCGTGACTCCGATCTTCAACCAGATGAACTGGATAATATTCTGAATGTTCTGATCCAATCTGACTTCTGGCCTATAATGTTGCCTGAATCATAATCACACACTGTTTGTTCATTGGCTGAGGAGAACTGGCCCCGACTGAGTCTGGTTTCTCACAAGGTTTTCTCCATTCTGTCACTGATGGATTTTGGTCTTTTTCACCATTGGCTATTTAATATTCAACAATATTATTGATCTGCATTGACACCATTATATGAGAACTGAACTTAGCTGGACAATGACATCATGGTTTTCTCCAAACTTTGCTGTATTATTTTCCTGTTATCTCTGTAAAGCTGATTTGAAACAGTCTGTACTGTAAAAAGCGCTATATAAATAAAGGTGACTTGACTTACAGAGAATGGTCTGAAAAAGAGAAAATATCCTGATAGTTCACTCCGAATATCATGATTTGTTCAGTGATTTGAATAAAGTGTCTCAACATGTCCGTTTATTTTCTCTGAACACTTCAACATGTGCTTTTATTCTTCATTACTCGTTGCACAGTGTATTCGTCACATAACACTGAACACAGCGCCATCTAGTGGCTTTCTTGAGGAACAATCACTGGATCTGAGTGAATAACTCCTGATAACATGTGAGTTCAGGGTGAGCCACTAGATGGAGGAGTTGCTCCTCAGACGAGACCACAGAGACAAATCACACTAGCGATTTAAAGACTTTATCATTCCCTGTCGGAGGAAATGGAGGATCGAGATGTTGTGTTTATGTATTTCACTGTGGTCTCAAAGTATATTATAATGTGTCCCAAATCAGTATTTTCTCAGGTGGAAGTTGTTTGTTTATTATTGTAGATAGAAAAACAGTAGTCCTATCAGTATTGTTAAATAATATCTACATAAAGTTAGTATTCCTCCACGAGGCGCTCGACATAATAAATGTAATAAAACATGAAGAGACTCTTGAACCTCAGAGTGAGAAACTTTATTGATAAAGGCAAGAAAATACATACAGCAAATATACAGCAGTTTAAAGTGAGATCTGTGTGACTCTATTCTTTTTTTTGTATCTGAGAGAAATATCAACAATGAAGTGGCACTGTTAAAATTTGACACTGAAAGAGAGCACAAACTCAAATAATCATCAGTATTTATTATGAAAAAAAAACACCAGAAGAACCTTTAAAATTCAGCGATTTCGATACTGAAAAAGATTACCATATAAAGCCATTAATATATGTGACATACATTTATATATGCAAAATCAGTTTGTGAGAAATGACATCATCAATCATGCACCTGATGTGTGAATATGTGCTTGATCTCATTCAGCTCTTCTGGATCTGATGTCATAAACCAGAATGATGACAGTAGCCACGCCCACCAGAGCAGAGAGGACCAATCGGATCACAGTTTCAGTAGGACCACAACAGTGGACAGAGTCTGAGGAATAAACACATCAAACTGACATCAGATCAGTCAATAAACACTAATATCAGCGCTGACATCAACTAATATTTATGAGTACACAGAAATATGATCAAATCTAATCAACAATCTTATATTCAGTTCCAAGTGAGATTTTTATACGGTCTGTCATCTCAAACTATTCAACAATTCAATATGTAAATAGTATTTGTGTTTTTTTTTGTAAATTTTCCTCTGAGACAAAGAAATCATCCTGTAAAATCATCTATTTTAGAAGAGTCCCGAGACCCAAATATTCAGAGAACTCAGTATTATTTACAAAGAAAAGCTGCGATTCCTGTTAACTGTGAAGAAATTGATGTTATACTGAAATATTTTTCATTTGATTGTGATAAAAAATCTTTTATATTTGATTTAACTATTATGATTGCCCGTTACTATATTATAGTAAATACTGTATATATAAATAGTAAATAAGAATATTTGAAAGAGAAGACAAATGATCTCTACTCACTATAGACAGAAACTCTGAATACTTTTGATGATAATCTTCCTCCTGAAGACATCACTAGTCTATAATCTCCTTCATCTTCAGTTGTGGTGTTTGTGATGGTCAGAGATCCAGTTTGATTGTCCAGCTTCAGTCTGTCTCTGAATCTCCCATCAAGAACATCATCATATACAGTGAATCTGTCGGCCCATTTATAGATTTCTGCTATTGAAGTCTTTCCATCTTCAAATCTCCACTGAATCACATCATCATCCATTATTTCAGTGAGACCAGAGTTTAGAGAGACTGAATCTCCCTCCATCACTGACACCAGGACTGAATCACCACACACACACACACACACACACACACACACACACACAGACACACGCACACAACATCAACAACAAACAGAAACAGGGTTCATCTCAAATTAAAACGATTACTTGATGGTTTATAAAAGTAAATAGTTAGAAAATTAAATTTGAGAATATCATCATTAAACTCCAAAAGCAAAAAAAAGAGTTTAAATTATTAATGGTATATTTGTGGTGATTAAAATATAAAACAAGAGAAATAAATATTTGGCTCACCGTAGACATTGAGCCTGAAAATCTTGATCTCACCGTTGATCAGTAGTTTATATTCTCCAGTGTGTTCAGTTGTGATGTTTGTGATGGTCAGAGATCCAGTTTGATTGTCCAGCTTCAGTCTGTCTCTGAATCTCCCATCAAGAACATCATCATATACAGCGATTCTGTCGATCCGTTTATCGATTTCTGCTATTATTGTGTTTGCATCCCCAAACCTCCACTGAATCTCATCATCATCCTTTATTTTAGAGAGACCAGAGTCTAGAGAGACTGAATCTCCCTCAAACACTGACTCAGCAAACGCTCCTGAAGAACAGAGTTTTTCACAGATTAAATCTTTAAAATCTCTTGATGTTGGTTTGATGAAGTTCACTAAAATAATTTTAATCATTTAATTGTGAAATGAATAATTCTGCAGCAGTGCAAAGATAAAAGATGAATGAAAAGAGAAATATATATATATATGGTATAATATAAAAATACATGTTTTTAATGTTTTAATGTCACACTAAAACTATTCCTGTTGATTATCTGAACTTCATATTTACAATCAATCCATAATAACTGAGTTTAGAGCTGAATTCAAACTTGATCTGACAGTAAAATCACAGTTTAATTATTTCTATATGAGAATAACAGTGAATGTTGATCCTCCTCGACTAAACTAACCAGACATTTATTACATGATACCAGAACAGAAACAACTGAAGTCATAAAAACACATTAAACTCACCATCCAGACGCCAGAAACACAAGCAGAGCAAAACAGGGAGAAACATCTTCATCAGTTTCAGTCCACAAATATGAAAAGACAAACTCTTCAAAACTGATAAAATGACAGACGTGCTGATGTGAAGCTGCTCTGTAGAGTAAAGTGAAGAGAAACTCTACAATCAGATAAAATACCTGTAAGTGTTAATGCATGTGACCGTCTAGCTCTATTTCTGATGATTATTTCACACTTTGAGCTCCTGTACGCCTCAACTTCCTGTAAGTCAATGATGACATTCAATAACATGTTAAAAACATCTTAAAGCAACAGTTTGATCTTGTCTTGATTTCCTGAGAGTGTTTGTCTCTGCTCTCTCCTGTAACTCTCTTCAGGACGTTTGTTCTTCATTTCTGATCAAATGTCTGGATTGTTTCTCCTCTCAGACTGATCTCAGAGTTTCTCTAATGGTTTAAAGGATCAGGAACAGATCGTCTGCTATAACTGTGTGTATGAAAGTGTCCTCTGATATCTTCACAGGATTCATATTCCACAGCTATAGATTATGACCCGGATCCCAGGTGAAAAAGACGTTGTATTAAATGTATTAAAAATATATTTGAAATACAAATAGTGTGTTTATAATACATTTGTATTTACAACATGCTTATTTAAAGTGTACTAAAAATGTATTTTATTGCATTTTAGTATATTTCTAAAAAGTATACTAGAAGTACATTGGTAATAAATATATATTTAATTACACTTTTAAGAAATATACTATAGAAAAGCATACTTTTAATGTATTTATAAAAAGTATATTAGTAATATATTGGTAATAAATGTATGCTTTATTATATTTTTAATAAATATGCTAATGATAATTATACTTTAAATGTATTTCTAAAAAGTATATTAGAACTACATTGGTAATAAATATATGTTTAAATACACTTTTAAGAAATACACTATAGAAAAGCATACTTTTAATGTATTTCTAAAAAAGTATATTATTAGTACATTGGTAATAAATGTATGCTTAATTATATTTTTAATAAATATGCTAATGACAATCATGCTTTAAATATGTTTCTAAAAAGTGTACTAGAAGTACATTGGTATTTAATTACATTTTTAAGAAATATGCTAAATACAAACATATTTTAATTGTATTTAAAAATGTTTTACTAGAAACGCAATGCTAATAAATATACACTTAATTACACTTTTAGAAATATGCTAAAAACAAACATAGTTTTAGTGAAATTTTAGTGTATTTACAGAAAGCATACTTGTTGCTAAATTAAAGTAATTTTTGTGTTTACTTTGTGTGTATAGCAATTTGTAACCTTATAACTTATTTAACCTTGTATAGGACTAGAGCAATATATTTTTAATATTTATGTTATACTGTAGCATGTGCTTCAGCCCTGCTTTAAAAAAATATTGTGAAAAACAAATGAGACATATATATATATATATATATATATATATATAAATAACGTTATATATATATATATATATATATATATATATATATATATATATATATTTATAAAGTTTAAAAATTACAAGTAATGCACTTCTATACTTCTGCATTAATTAATCAAATAGTCTTTTCCACAAAACTGAATACCAGTACTTGCACACATCAACATAAAAGATCAGGTGTACATACTAGAAAAACAAAATAAATTTGTTAAAGCTTGACTCTTACATTTGTTCAGCCAAAATGAATAAAAAACCTGTTTATAAAGCATGTTATGTTTATATTAACAGAGTTGTTTCTTTTTTTGTGGCCATTAGTTAGTTAGTATTTCCAGCTGCATTCATTTGGACCAATCAGAGCCAATCTTTTCAAAACAAGCTTGCCGGCAATTGTCCAATCACACACTGCTATTTGAACTTACATGTTGGGCGGGGCGCGGACAGCGGATACTGACTGTCTGTGGTATTCCATTATAGCTTCGGATATTTCAACAGAAATCATGTATTTTCCAAATTTTGCTTTGTTATTTCACTGACTCGGACCTAGTGAATGTGGATAGCACCGATCTAATATTGAGAGAACACACGAGCAGATTACCAGGTCGTCAGCTCCCGCGAACAATTTAGCAGTGAAGAGGACAACGCAGAGCTGCGCCGCCACGACATGGACAGGGCAAGATACTGCCAGAAAAGATCTTGCTTCTTGGTGGTAAGTTTATTAGTTTAAGTGATTAGTATAATTGGCTTTATTCTCACTTTGGGTTTAGAAAATATTTTCAGAAGTTGATGTCGATGTTCTGTGGATTACTGCGTTTCTGTTGATTTGACACTAAAGCGAGTTATCGTCTATCCATTGACGTCTATCAACTTAATGTTATAGATCTAGACAGTGACATAAAACAACTATAAAAACATTGCACACTGTGTTTGCAGAAAAAAAGGTTATTTAGGTGATTACACAACAGGCTTGATTGTCCCTAAGTAACGTCTTGTGTTTTAAATATTATAATATATTTAAAGCTCTAATAAAACTTACACATTTGTGATATTTAATTCATAGTAAAATCTAATTCATTATTAGTAGGCTGTCAGTTTTCATGTCAATTCGATAAATAAATTAAGTTGTAATCACCAACTATAAGCTTTCACAAAACCAATTATTAAATATCTTGCACTGAGAAATTAAAACGATGTTAAATAATGAAATGAGAGATTTTATATTTAATATTTAGCCTAGCCAAGGAATTTGCACATTGCAAAGACATTTTTTTATTAAACCTGTGAGTAGATGAGGAGTAAGTAGTAGTTGATCCTCTTGATTTGTAACTTTTTGTTGGTGAAAAACAACAAAAACAGTCAATATAGTGTGTCATGTAGCAGCTAGTTAAGTGACCTATTATATATTAACACGTATTTGAAAAATTGCGTCCCCCGCATGAATATGTATTTTGCCTGATTATGCATTGAATTATGCAATCGCATAATCGTGTTTTTCTCGAGGGACTGATTTATATGATTTTATGTGTGGTATTCAGCTTTTTTACATTTAATCAAGTCGTTATCAGCTGTCACCAACTTGTAACTTTCAATAGAATGTTCTGTCTTTATTAATAATGAATAATTACTTTAATAATAGCGTGGAAGTTACAGTAATGGTTCGTTAAATCATTTAAACAAAATACAAATTATATATGAAGAACACAAACTAGTGTTTGTTCTGCCCTAACTTTGTATAACATGCAACTTTATTTTTTTCTTGTAGAGCTTCCAGGGATATTAGCATCTCCCAAAGAGGCCCTGGAGTCCATGAAACGAGGTTCATTCAGCTCAAGCCCAAGATCTGGCATCTGAGCTGTGTCTTCCTGAAACCTCAGAAATGGTTAGAAAATTCTTTATGATAAAGAAAAATCCTATTTGTTATAATAATTATATCTGACTTTTTGTGCACTAATACTTCAGTAAGTGTTCTGAATTAAGTAACAAAGTGACAGCTTTTTATTAGAATTATAAATGAACAAGTTTATACTAATGCTTGTTTTATTTATTCTTTCCAGATTTCTCTCGGTGGTTCTGATGTCCCCAAAAGAGTCTATGGCAGACTGAACAAGTCACGAACTTCTCTTTTTACTCACGACTTGGCCACTTTACTTTTTGCTATTGCATTTCACTTTGTTTGACTTAAAGGATTAGTTCACTTAAAAAAAAAAAAAACTTTTGCTGATAATTTACTCACCCCCATGCCAAGATATCCAGGTCATTCTTTCTTCAGTTGAAAAGAAATTAAGGTTTTTGATGAAAACATTCCAGGATTTTCTCCATATAATGGACTTCATTGGGAACCAAACGGTTCAAGGTCCAAAAGACAGTTTCTGTGCAAACTGTTCAAAGGGCTTTAAACGATTCCAGACGATGAACAAGGGTCTTATCAAGCGAAACGATCGGTTATTTAAAAAAAAAAAAACAACGTTTAAGTTTTATAAGCTCAAATGGTCGCCTTGCTCTGTTCTGTTATGCATGTTCATAACTCTCCTATTCGAACTCGTTCATCAAAATTAACAAATCTTTTTCCGAGTCATTAGGTTCATTCAACGAACGAAATGAATGAATTGACTCGAAAAAAGATTTGTCAGGGCTGCCAACTCTCAAGCATTCAGCACGAGACTCTCGCAATTGAGCCAATTCTCATGCTTTCATGACAAATTGACTGTTAGCCATTGGACCTTGAACCGTTTGGTTCCCAGTGAAGTCCATTATATGGAGAAAATCCTGGAATGTTTTCATCAAAAACCTTAATTTCTTTTCGACTGAAGAAAGAAAGACATGGACATCTTGGAAGACATGGGGGTGAGTAAATTATCAGCAAAAGTTTTTTTTTAAAAGTGAACTACTCCTTTCAGTTAGTTTATTTATTTATTGTTCTGTTTAATACCTCTGCAAATCAATGCATTTTATGTTAATGTATTTTATTGAGTTTTCATAATGCTTTACTGATGTAGTGCATTAAAGTTTATCTTTCAAAAAGTGTTTGTGTGTTTTGTAGAAATATTTGTTTTGTTGAATTAAAATGTTTAACTGTATTTTTAATACATTAAAATATATTATTTTTATATTAAATGGTTTTTGGAAAAAATATATTTTTAATATGTTAATAGTGGGTCCTACAGTGTTCTACTAATACATTATTAATAAGCTGAAATTATATTTAAAATATACTTAGAACGCATTAATGTGAAGCTAAAAGTATACTAATGCTGTATTTCTAAAGTCGATTTAAAGTGTATTAAAATACACTTTAAATAAGTGCTATTATATTACATTAAATGTACTTAAAATGGTTCCATTTTAGCACATTTTAGTATAATAAAATATATTACTATTACCTTAAAATTGAACTTAAATACATATTAAAATACACTTAATATACTTGAAGTTGTTTCAATTTAGCACATTTAATACATATTTAATACGGTACATTTAAAATACATTAAGTATATCAAAATAAGTACAATTTAAATATATTTCCTTTTCACCTGGGATGTGACGCTCTAAATGCTCAACAATATTATTGATCTGCCTGCACTGACACCATTATATGAGAACTGAACTTAGCTGGACAATGATGGTTTTCTCCAAACTTTGCTGTATTATTTTCCTGTTATCTCTGTAAAGCTGATTTGAAACAGTCTGTACTGTAAAAAGCGCTATATAAATAAAGGTGACTTGACTTACAGAGAATGGTCTGAAAAAGAGAAAATATCCTGATAGTTCACTCCGAATATCATGATTTGTTCAGTGATTTGAATAAAGTGTCTCAACATGTCCGTTTATTTTCTCTGAACACTTCAACATGTGCTTTTATTCTTCATTACTCGTTGCACAGTGTATTCGTCACATAACACTGAACACAGCGCCATCTAGTGGCTTTCTTGAGTAACAATCACTGGATCTGAGTGAATAACTCCTGATAACATGTGAGTTCAGGGTATGGAAGTATGGAAGCTTGTTTCCGCCATTGAATAAAAAATATAATAAAGAATTGTGACTTTTTATCTTACAATTCTGACTTTTTTTCTCACAATTCTGACTTTTTTTCTCACAATTGCGAGTTTATATCTCACAATTCTGACTTTATTTCTCAGAATTGCGTGATATAAAGTCGCAATTGCGAGTTATAAAGTCAGAATTGTGTGTTATAAAGTCAGAATTGCGAGATATAAAGTCAGAATTGCGAGATATAAAGTCAGAATTGTGTGATATAAAGTCGCAATTCTGAGAAAAAAAGACAGAAGTGTGACTTTTTTTCTCACAATTGCGAGTTTACATCTCGCAATTCTGACTTTATAACACATAATTGCGAGTTTATATGTCGAAATTCTGACATCTTTTCTCAGAATTGTGAGATATAAACTCGCAATTGCGACTTATTAGGCCAATTTTTTTTTCCCCATCAGAATAGTTTAAATCTCACAATTCTGACTTTATATCATGCAATTCTGACTTTATAACTCGCAATTGCGACTTTATATCACGCAATTCTGACTTTATAACTCGCTTTGCGACTTTATATCACGCAATTCTGACTTTATGTCTCGCAATTCTGACTTTATAACTCGCAATTGCGACTTTATATCACGCAATTCTGACTTTTTATCTCGCAATTCTGACTTTATAACTCGCAATTGTGACTTTATATCTCGCAATTCTGACTTTTTATCTCGCAATTGCGACTTTATATCACGCAATTCTGACTTTATATCTCGCAATTCTGACTTTATATCTCGCAATTCTGACTTTATAACTCGCAATTGCGACTTTATATCACGCAATTCGGACTTTTTATCTCGCAATTGTGAGAAAAAAAGTCAGAATTGTGAGATAAAAAGTCGCAATTATTTATTTTATTTTTTTATTCAGTGGCGGAAACAAGCTTCCATATGGAAGCTTGTTTCCGCCATTGAATAAAAAATATTATAAAGAATTTTGACTTTTTATCTTACAATTCTGACTTTTTTTCTCACAATTCTGACTTTTTTTCTCACAATTGCGAGTTTATATCTCACAATTCTGACTTTATTTCTCAGAATTGCGTGATATAAAGTCGCAATTGCGAGTTATAAAGTCAGAATTGTGTGTTATAAAGTCAGAATTGCGAGATATAAAGTCAGAATTGCGAGATATAAAGTCAGAATTGCGTGATAAAAAGTCAGAATTGTGAGATATAAAGTCGCAATTCTGAGAAAAAAAGACAGAAGTGTGACTTTTTTTCTCACAATTGCGAGTTTACATCTCGCAGTTCTGACTTTATAACACATAATTGCGAGTTTATATGTCGAAATTCTGACATCTTTTCTCAGAATTGTGAGATATAAACTCGCAATTGCGACTTATTAGGCCAATTCTTTTTCCCCCATCAGAAGAGTTTAAATCTCACAATTCTGACTTTATATCATGCAATTCTGACTTTAAAACTCGCAATTGCGACTTTATATCACGCAATTCTGACTTTATAACTCGCATTGCGACTTTATATCACGCAATTATGACTTTATGTCTCGCAATTCTGACTTTATAACTCGCAATTGCGACTTTATATCACGCAATTCTGACTTTTTATCTCGCAATTCTGACTTTATAACTCGCAATTGCGACTTTATATCTCGCAATTCTGACTTTTTATCTCGCAATTGCGACTTTATATCACGCAATTCTGACTTTATATCTCGCAATTCTGACTTTATAACTCGCAATTGCGACTTTATATCACGCCATTCGGACTTTTTATCTCGCAATTGTGAGAAAAAAAGTCAGAATTGTGAGATAAAAAGTCGCAATTATTTATTTTATTTTTTTATTCAGTGGCGGAAACAAGCTTCCATATCAGGGTGAGCCACTAGATGGAGGAGTTGCTCCTCAGACGAGACCACAGAGACAAATCACACTAGCGATTTAAAGACTTTATCATTCCCTGTCGGAGGAAATGGAGGATCGATATGTTGTGTTTATGTATTTCACTGTGATCTCAAAGTATATTATAATGTGTCCCAAATCAGTATTTTCTCAGGTGGAAGTTGTTTGTTTATTATTGTAGATAGAAAAACAGTAGGCCTATCAGTATTGTTAAATAATATCTACATAAAGTTAGTATTCCTCCACGAGGCGCTCGACATAATAAATGTAATAAAACACGGAGAGACTCTTGAACCTCAGAGTGAGAAACTTTATTGATAAAGGCAAGAAAATACATACAGCAAATATACAGCAGTTTAAAGTGAGATCTGTGTCTCTTTATTATTATTATGTATCTGAGAGAAATATAAACAATAAAGCATTACAAATAAGATGTTTTTTAAACCTCAAAAATCGTCAAGCTCATTTATTCAGTATTTATTATGAAAAAAAACACTAGAAGAGCAAATAACACACTTGAAGAACCTTTAAAGTTCAGCGTTCTGCTTTAGATTTCAGTAGAAAAGATAAAAAATATAAAGCTAAAAATTAATAAACCTCACAAATATATATTTGGCAAATCAGTTTGTGAGAAATGACATCATCAATCATGCACCTGATGTGTGAATATTATGTGCTTGATCTCTTTCAGCTCTTCTGGATCTGATGTCATAAACCAGAATGCTGACAGTAGCCACGCCCACCAGAGCAGAAAGGACCAATCGGATCACAGCTTCAGTAGGACCACAGCAGTGGACAGAGTCTGAGGAATAAACACATCAAACTGACATCAGATCAGTCAATAAACACTAATATCAGCGCTGACATCAACTAATATTTATGAATACAGAAATATGATCAAATCTAATCAACAATAATATATTTGGTTCCAAATGAGATTTTTATACTGTCTGTCATCTCAAACTACAGTATAAACGATTCAACAATTCAATATGTAAATATTTGTGTTTTTTGTAAAGTTTTCTCTGAGACAAAGAAATCATCCTGTAAAATCATCTATTTTAGAAGAGTCCCGAGACCCAAATATTCAGAGAACTCAGTATTATTTACAAAGAAAAGCTGCGATTCCTGTTAACTGTGAAGAAGTTGATGTTATACTAAAAATGTTTTTCATTTGATGGTGATAAAAAATCTTTTATATTTAACTTAATTATTATGATTGCCCGTTACTATTTTATATTATAGTAAATATACAGTATATAAATAGTAAATAAGAATATTTGAAAGAGAAGATGTGCGACGGTGGTAGTGCGGTTGAAGAAAGGAGGCGTTGGATCCAAGTGCAGCACACGTTTTAACACGCTCAAAACTCAAACAGACTACAGACTTCAACAGACTAGACTTTAGACTCAAGAACAACCCACATCGACATTAAACAAGAACTCACAAAAAAAAGGCAGGAACACAGGGCTTAAATAATAGGGACAAACGAGCTAGGCAAGGTAACAAGGGGGCGTGAGAAATGAGAAACACCTGGGATAATAACTAGACAGGGAACAACTAAATACAAATTGACAAGACACAAAACCACATCATGACATAGCCCACCCCATATGGCCGGCTCCCGACGCCCATAAAAACAACAAAAAGTTCAGGAGGGCAGTGAAGCGGAGACAGTCTTGGGGGAGGGACGAAGGGCCAGGCCCGTGCAGAGGAACGGGACCAGGAGATAGCCAAGGCGGGCCTGGGCCGCCGAGCGTGGACGGAGCAGGACGAGGCGAAGGCCAGGGCGGAGCAGGACGAGGCCAGACTCAGGACAAGACTCAGGCCAGACTCAGGACAAGGCCAGGGCGGAGCAGGACGATGCAAGGGCCATGTCAACGTCGCCTCCATGGCCCCCACAGAGTACCTACTGCCCCCCCCCCCCAAAAAAAATACTTGGGGAAATCTATGGAGGGAACCTCCGGACAGTAGACAGGCTCAGGAAACGCCTCAAGGAGCTTGAAAGCCAGCGGGGCGAGGCGCAGAGGCGGGGCCGGCAGGGCGAGGAGTCCGGGTACGCTCACCGGTGCCTGGCGAACCGAACGAGTCCTCCTTCTCCTCCTCTTGCGGCGGCGCGTCACAGGGCTAGACACACTCGCTGGGCTGGACAACTCACTCACTTGACTTGAAGACTCATCACTCACTTGAACAGGAGACTCATTCACTTGAACAGGAGACTCATTCACTTGAACAGAAGACTCATTCACTTGAACAGGAGACTCATTCACTTGAACAGGAGACTCATTGACTTGAACAGGAGACTCATTCACTTGAACAGGAGACTCATTCACTTGAACAGGAGACTCATTCACTTGAACAGGAGACTCATTCACTTGAACAGGAGACTCATTCACTTGAACAGGAGACTCATTCACTTGAACAGAAGACTCATTCACTTGAACAGAAGACTCATTCACTTGAACAGGAGACTCATTCACTTGAACAGGAGACTCATTCACTTGAACAGGAGACTCAGCACTCACTTGAACAGGAGACTCAGCACTCACTTGAACAGGAGACTCAGCGCTCACTTGAACAGGAGACTCAGCACTCACTTGAACAGGAGACTCAGCACTCACTTGAACAGGAGACTCAGCACTCACTTGAACAGGAGACTCAGCGCTCACTTGAACAGGAGACTCAGCGCTCACTTGAACAGGAGACTCAGCACTCACTTGAACAGGAGAATCAGCGCTCACTTGAACAGGAGACTCAGCACTCACTTGAACAGGAGACTCAGCACTCACTTGAACAGGAGACTCAGCACTCACTTGAACAGGAGACTCAGCGCTCACTTGAACAGGAGACTCATTCACTTGAACAGGAGACTCAGCACTCACTTGAACAGGAGACTCATTCACTTGAACAGGAGACTCAGCGCTCACTTGAACAGGAGACTCATTCACTTGAACAGGAGACTCAGCGCTCACTTGAACAGGAGACTCAGCACTCACTTGAACAGGAGACTCAGCGCTCACTTGAACAGGAGACTCAGCACTCACTTGAACAGGAGAATCAGCGCTCACTTGAACAGGAGACTCAGCACTCACTTGAACAGGAGACTCAGCACTCACTTGAACAGGAGACTCAGCACTCACTTGAACAGGAGACTCAGCGCTCACTTGAACAGGAGACTCAGCACTCACTTGAACAGGAGACTCAGCACTCACTTGAACAGGAGACTCAGCACTCACTTGAACAGGAGACTCAGCACTCACTTGAACAGGAGACTCAGCGCTCACTTGAACAGGAGACTCAGCACTCACTTGAACAGGAGACTCAGCACTCACTTGAACCGGAGATTCACTCGCGGGGCTCACGTGAAGCACGGGCTCGGCTGGGCTGACGTGAAGCACGGGCTCGGCTGAGCTGACGTGAGTCGCGGGCTCTCGCTGCTTGCTCTCCCACAGTAAACGCAGAGCCGCTCCACAACAGGGCCAGGTCAATATACCACTCCAAAGACCCGTACGGATCAGGTTCGGGCATCAGAGACCGGAGTGGTTCCTCTAATCCCCCGCGGAAGAAGATCTTCAAGCACTGGGTGCTCATTTGCGCGAGATGAGCCAGCTCAAGAAACTCCGCGACGTACCGTTCTATGGTCCGACTTTCTTGACGGAGACGAAGAATCTGGACGTCAGGACTCCAGAGAGGCATGGCTGCTAGATCACGATGCGGTGAGTTCTTCTGTGACGGTGGTAGTGCGGTTGAAGAAAGGAGGCGTTGGATCCAAGTGCAGCACACGTTTTATTTAACACGCTCAAAACTCAAACAGACTACAGACTTCAACAGACTAGACTTTAGACTCAAGAACAACCCACATCGACCACTCGACATTAAACAAGAACTCACAAAGACAAGACAGGAACACATAATAGGGACAAACGAGCTAGGCAAGGTAACAAGGGGGCATGAGAAATGAGAAACACCTGGGATAATAACTAGACAGGGAACAACTGAATACAAATTGACAAGACACAAAACCACATCATGACAATATGAAAGAAGAAGAGAAAGATGATCTCTACTCACTATAGACAGAAACTCTGAATAATTTTGATGACAATCTTTTTCCTGACAACATCACTAGTAGATAATCTCCAGCATGTTCAGTTGTGGTGTTTGTGATGGTCAGAGATCCAGTTTGATTGTCCAGCTTCAGTCTGTCTCTGAATCTCCCATCAAGATCATCATAATATACAGTGATTCTGTCGGCCATTTTATTGATTTCTGCTATTAAAGTCTTTCCATCTTCAAACATCCACTGAATCACATTATTATCTTTTATTTCAGTGTCAGAGTTTAGAGAGACTGAATCTCCCTCCATCACTGACACTGACTTCACTTCATCTGTCAAACACACAGAGAACAAACAGAAACAGGGTTTATCACAGATTAATACTGTTAAATTGTAAAGTATGGACTAGTGGTTCTTTGTAGGATGGGAACACTACAGAAAGATTCCGGCCAGAGAATCCTTTATCATCCTTTTATTTCACAGACCAGGATGCCAATATACAAGTTTGCATGTGTATATGCTGTGTGTGTGTGGTCTAAACAGAAAGAAAGAAAAAATAAATAATGAAATGATAATAAACAAATAAAGAATACTATAATATACTTATTGTCATCATTCACAACAGTATAGTAATGAAAGTAATAGTTAACATTAATCCAGTACAGAATACGTCACTATATGCCCTTTTATGGTGTACTACTGCACCTTTAAGTGACTATGCAAAATATAACATTATATCGCTATAACGCTGTAGCATCAAATAAACAGTAAATGCTGCATCCGAACACGGAATTATATGTCTAAATATACAACACAAAGAGGTCTATATCGACGTATAGATGGGCTAATTATTTACCCACAGAAAACATATTAACTATTACAGCACGCTCTGTTTCATGACTACACAAATCACACAGAATAAACGAGTTTGAATGAACATAAATAAAGTTCAAAGCATAGTATAAACATACAACAGTAGTCAGAACTTACTTGTTTTTCATAAAACGCACACAAAAGTAAAGGAAGGGGTCTCTGAGAATCCTCTCATCATCTCTGAGCGCGAATAACTGAGGCGCAAATATCTGAGGCGCGAATAACTTAGGCGCGCGCATTCCTTTCCAGGCGCAGTTCACGTGATGGAGCATGAGCGCACTTAGGAAATATCAGCGCTGAACAAATAGGCTTTCAGACAAAGCCGCCCCCAACTGTCCGTATGGCAGTTGAAAGAATAGGAGAAAGTCTATTTGTTAGTCTCTTCTTCATCCTCGTCCTCCAGAGCTGGGAGCAGGATGATCCGGGCGACTGGACGAATGCAAGTACGGTCCTTCACTTGAACACTGATCGTTCGTACGCGTCCATCTGCTCCTGGATGAGTCTGGGTAATCCGTCCTACGGGCCATGACGCTCGAGGGAGTTGGGGATCCACAATTACAACAACATCACCGATGGAGAGTGGCTTAACGTCTTTCCTCCACTTACTGCGTTCTTGTAGCCCTGGTAGGTAGTGGCTGATGAAGGATGACCAAAAGCGGTCAGCAATGACTTGACTGTGCCTCCAGCGTCTTCTCCCGAGGTCACTGGGGTCATAAACTGCTTGAGGAAGCGATGAGTCGTGTCGGCCCATTAAGAGGAGGTTAGGCGTGACCGGATCTGGATCAGAGGCATCTGATGACAAGTAGCCTAAGGGTTTCGCATTCATTATGCCCTCGACTTCTACTAGAATTGTCATTAGGACAGGTTCAGGAACAGTCTGATCTTTGAGGACAACACGAAGAGCAGTCTTGATAGACTTCACTTCCCTCTCCCATGTGCCACCAAAGTGCGGCGCACTTGGAGGATTGAATCGGAAGGATATCTGCTGTTCAGCGAGTTGCTCTCTCCACTGAGGTGCCATAGCAGCAACGGCCTCACGTAACTCTCTCTCTCCACCGACAAAGTTGGTACCATTGTCCATGAGGAGTTCGAACGGTCTGCCACGCCGAGAGATGAATCTCCTTAGTGACAGCAGGAAAGCATCTGTATCGAGGCTTTCCAATAGATCCAGATGCACCGAGCGAGTTGTCATGCATTTGTAGACAATGCCCCACCTCTTTTCAGTGCGGCGCCCGATCCGTACTTGGAAAGGCCCGAAGCAATCAACTCCAGTTGAATAGAACGGTGGCTTATGGAGTCGTAACCGAGCTGGTGGATAATCTGCCATCTTCGGTACATCAGGTTTTGCTCTCCATCGTCGGCACTCCAGACATGAATGCTGATGCTTTCGAATGGCCTCTCTACCACGGATAATCCAAAACCTGCGTCTGATCTCGGCAAGAACCCGTTCTGGCCCAGGGTGCAGTAGTGACTCATCAAAATCCTTGATGATAAGCTTTGTCACCGGATGGCTTGGGTCCAGGATAACTGGGTGGATAGTATCAGGGTCTAGTCCTTCAGCATGACTTAACCTGCCACCAACTTTGAGTAGCTCCGTGGCTCCTTTATATTCTGGTGACAGAGATGCAAGACGACTGTCTGACGGAAGAGTACGTCCAGCTTTGAGAGCCCTCAATTCTTCAGCAAAGCAGTCCTCTTGAACCTTCTGTAACATTAGCTTCTCTGCTTGCAGAAAATCGGCAGCGGAAAGGGGTACTGTAGTTTTATCCTCAGCCGCCCCGTGAAAGGAGCTAGCAGTTTCCTTAAGAAGCTCTTTCCAGCTGGAGAACTTACTGGGATCCGGAAGTGGTGTGGGCAAGATGCTGGACACAGTTCCAACGAAGGCAGACTTTCTAAACTCGGTGGGGTCTAGTTCTGGCTCAAATAAGGGCATTTTGGGCCATTCCCTTTCAGACAAACGGAGAAAATGTGGACCTTTGTTCCAGCGATGATCCTGTACCATCTCTTGCAGAGTGAGTCCGCGGGTTATATCATCAGCTGGATTACTTAGAGTGTCAACATACCGCCATTGAACAGGGTTGGTCAGGTTCTGGATTTCTGCGATGCGTGTTCCCACAAACACTTTATAACGGCAAGATTCTGATTTGATCCAGTGCAGTACAGTTGTGGAGTCTGACCAAAGAGTGATATGCTCAGATGGTACTGCAAGCTCTGTCTCGATCAATCTAGCCAACTGTGCGCCTGTAAGCGCGGCACTGAGCTCAAGCCGTGGAATAGACAGCAGCTTACGGGGTGCAACTCTCGATCTAGCAAACACGAAGGAGACATAGACTTGCTGATCATAATCTGTCGTCTGCATGTAAGCTACTGATCCATAGGCGCGCTGCGAAGCATCACAGAAAATGTGAATGTGACGGGTTGCGTTGGCAGTATCGGCAATGGCTGGTGCATATGGACGAGGCAGCTTTAGATGTTGCAAAGTGGGAATTTCTTGCACCCAACTTGACCATTTCTCCAGAAGGTCAGCGGGTTGGATCTTGTCGTCCCAACCAATATTGGCCTTCCACATGTCCTGAACAAGCACTTTACATCTTGTCGTAAATGGCACAATGTATCCCAACGGATCGTAAAGCTTGGCAAGAACACTGTAGACGTTACGCAGAGTAGCGTCTGAACATTCAGCTTGACGCTGTTTGTAACCCAGGGTATCATTCAAACAATCCCAGCAGAGTCCAAGCGTGGGTTCTTGGAGGTTGTCGCTGGCCTTGGATAGCCATAGCTCACTACTAGCTGACTGTGCTTCAGGAGGTAGATTTGCTACAACTTCAGGCATGTTACTAGCCCATTGCCGGATCTCGAAACCTCCCTTGTTCAGAAGCGCTCGTAGATCATCAACTAGAACCTTGGCATCCTCAGGTTTACTAACACTGTGGAGGCAATTGTCGACATAGAACGAGTGCTCGATCACGTGCATGAGAGGAGAATCTGGTGGCTCGTGATCTCTGACGTGCTGCTGCAGAGCAAAGACTGCACAACAGGGGCTACACGTCGTTCCGAATGGTAACACCTCCCATTGGAATATGCGTGGTTCCGATGTCCTCTGCATGTCACGCCACAGGAATCGTAGAAGTGGTTTGTCACTGGGTAACAAGCGGATCTGATGGAACATCGACTTAATATCTCCGCTGATGGCCACAGCATGACATCTGAACCGCATCAGGACTCCAATCATGGTCGGACCGAGCGTTGGTCCCGGCAGGAGTTGGTCATTCAGGGACAGGCCATTAAAGGAAAAGGAGCAGTTAAAGACCACTCTGTCCTTTCCATTGTGGTGCACCATATGATGAGGTACATACCACGACTCTGTGGACTTTGCTGCTTCTTCTGTTAAGATTTCTGCAACATAGCCAGACTGAACAAGTTTATCCATCTCCTTGCAGTATGAGGCTGCTCGCACAGGGTCCTTAGCCAACCGGCGCTCAGTGCTGCGTAGGTTTGGCATCACGGCATCTTGCTGAGCACAGAGTTTGATAAATGGCTGACGACGCAACAGTGGAGTAGCGTAGCGCTGGGTACCATCGACAGATACACGTTTGGAGGCTGTCTGTAAGAGGATGAGTGCCTGCTGGTCTTGCTTGGAACGCATTGCAGTCTTCTCACTGACATAGGGGACTGTGTCAATGTGCCAAAGACGTTCCACATTTCTGAGGAGTTCAGAATGCGAAGACTCAGTGGCGATGTGCAGACAGGAAGACTGGTGAGAAGAGACTGGCATAATGTCAGAAGGACCTTGCAAGGACCAACCTAGCCTCGTGCAGATGGCTATAGGACCACCAGATGGGCCTGCTCTGACTGGCTGGGTAGGAGTGAGAAGCTGAGGCATATCAGAACCGATGAGGAGCAGAGGTTGGGCTCTGTGGATAAGTGTCAAAGGAAGTCCTTTGAGATACTCATAGCGCTTCTGGAGAGCTTCTACTGGATACGTGTGTTCAGATAAGCTCAAACTGCTTGCTGTGAAAGCATGTGGAATCCAAAACTTCTTGTTTGGCTTGAAGATGGGGGATACATGAAAGCTAACTGAAGAACCTTTCAGCTCTTTCACCTCTTGCTGTACTGTCCTCAGATGAAGTGTCTCTGGATGCTGAGAGAGTTGTAGTTGCTTTACAGCCTGTGGAAGGATAATAGTTCTCTCCGATCCATCATCGAGCACTGCAAATGTCTCAAGAATGCGGTCTCCATGATGCAGAAGTACTTTGACAATCTTCAGCAACACTCTCTGAGGGCTTCTAGGCTGCTCAATGTAGACAATGGGCTTCGGATTTCTAACCATCAGCACTTTATGGGATGACTCTTGGATAACATCATGCAGGACTGTAAGGTGTTTCTCTTTGCAAAGCTTACATGGGCGTTTAAGGGTGCAGGCTGTAGCTTTGTGGCCGCGGCCGCATTTCCAACATCTATCACCTTCATGGATCCACCTCTTGATCTCAGCTGTACTCAGTTTCTTGAAGTCCGAGCATGAGTTAAGGTAGTGCTCCTTATTATTGCAAAACGGACAATAAGGACTGAGTTTGAAAGCTTGGGATTTCGATAGGGAAAAGTCTCCTTGTCAGCTGCCTCTCCAGAGCAGAGGAAGACTGATGCTGTTCTATCTTTGGACTTTTGGCTACGTTGATCTCGCTTTGGTAAGGTAGGCCCTGTAGAGTTATAGAGAAAAGTAGCACGACTGGCGAGACGCTTGGCTTGAGCCTTCATCTGGAGCCATGCAGCGAGGTCGGGCAAGGAGTAGGTGAGCTCTGAACCTGGCTGCAGTATGCCGCGAACGAGACAATATTCCACAAATCCATCTCTGTAGGAAGGAGACATTTTGCTTAAAAGACGGTCAACATGGGAACCACACTTGAGCTCGTATCCAACCGGTCCCTCTAAAGTGCGTAGCATACCGACAAGCGACTGCACCGAGAGGGCAAAGGAGTCAAATGCATCTGCGTCTCCTGACTTAATGGCTGGGGAGTTGAGGATTGCCCCAAGTTCACTTTGCACCAATTGTCTTGGCTGGCCATATTTATCTTGCAGAGCCCCCAATGCTGCTGTATACGGTGCAGGGTCATACATGTATGATTTGGCCAACTGCAGAGCACTCTGAAGTTTGAGCTGGCCCAGGAGAACTTGGTATTTATAGTGCTCGCTGAGATGAGGGTGACTATTCATCAAGTTGTCAAGCGCCATCTTCAAAAGTGCAAAATCACTTTCTTTGCCACTCTCGAAAAAAGGAAGTGTCGGTTTGGGAATGCCATAAGATGTAGCAATCAAGGTCTCCATACCCGGGTAAGTCCATGGTGATGCCATCTGAACTGGTGATGCAGCTATAGGAGGTGGTGGTGCCATTATGAAACTTGTACTGGTAGTTGGAGCCCCTTGGTACTGAGACGGGAGACTAGTTGTGACAGAAGATCTTGTCATCGGCAACACTCCACCTTCCTGAGTAGTTACCATGGAGGGAATGGGAGCAAATGAGACGGGCGCAGATGGAAGTACAGAGACTGGTACTGCAATCGGTGCTGTGCTAACAGGAACACTGATTTGGGCACTTGCGACGGGACTAGCAGATGGTGCCAATACCTGATAAGGAACAGTGGAGGAAGATGCTACCTGAACTGGCGCTAGATTTGGTTGCTGTACAGGTGGGTACTGCATGGGAACCAATGGCACCAGAGGTGGCTGTTGAGTCAATGGTGATGACAGAGGTAACTTGGAGAATACAGCAGGAGCTGACGTAGACAATGATTCATTGTTCGTCCCTGTCAGGTAGGTCTTTACAAGACTGGCAATGTGTACCTCCTTCTCGAGTTTCTTCAAGCGCCTGCGTCTCCCCATTTCTCTAGCTATTCTCTCTTTAGCCAAATGTGCTTCCTCCTGTAGTCGCTGTCCTTCTCTGGCTTGTGCATCCAATGCTGCTGCTTCTAAGTCAGCTTTCCTTTCTTCTTCTATTTCCTGTTGCAGATCAGCTAGCTCCAATCCTTTGATCTCCTCCTCTAAAGCCGCTTCTTGTATATCAGACGTACTTCGAAACAGATGGAGTCCGTAAGATAACCGAGAGGACCGTCGTGACTGTGTAGCTGACCGATAACTTGTCAAACTCCTAGCCCTGGTTGACTGAGCCTGGTCTGGTTGTCCTACAGGCGTAGAGGAGGTTTGGACCACAGGCTGTTGAGAGGGCAGAAGAGTGACTTCGTACTGGGCCAAATGTGCAGGTGGACGGGTTTCTCTCTTGGGTCGATCCAATGACTCCAGCTGCTGACCTTCAGTTGATGACTCCATAGTGTCGAGGAAAACCCTAGCTCCGGCTCGAAGGACCAATGTAAAGTATGGACTAGTGGTTCTTTGTAGGATGGGAACACTACAGAAAGATTCCGGCCAGAGAATCCTTTATCATCCTTTTATTTCACAGACCAGGATGCCAATATACAAGTTTGCATGTGTATATGCTGTGTGTGTGTGGTCTAAACAGAAAGAAAGAAAAAATAAATAATGAAATGATAATAAACAAATAAAGAATACTATAATATACTTATTGTCATCATTCACAACAGTATAGTAATGAAAGTAATAGTTAACATTAATCCAGTACAGAATACGTCACTATATGCCCTTTTATGGTGTACTACTGCACCTTTAAGTGACTATGCAAAATATAACATTATATCGCTATAACGCTGTAGCATCAAATAAACAGTAAATGCTGCATCCGAACACGGAATTATATGTCTAAATATACAACACAAAGAGGTCTATATCGACGTATAGATGGGCTAATTATTTACCCACAGAAAACATATTAACTATTACAGCACGCTCTGTTTCATGACTACACAAATCACACAGAATAAACGAGTTTGAATGAACATAAATAAAGTTCAAAGCATAGTATAAACATACAACAGTAGTCAGAACTTACTTGTTTTTCATAAAACGCACACAAAAGTAAAGGAAGGGGTCTCTGAGAATCCTCTCATCATCTCTGAGCGCGAATAACTGAGGCGCAAATATCTGAGGCGCGAATAACTTAGGCGCGCGCATTCCTTTCCAGGCGCAGTTCACGTGATGGAGCATGAGCGCACTTAGGAAATATCAGCGCTGAACAAATAGGCTTTCAGACATAAATCACTTTATAATGGTTTACTAAATTGAATACTTTAAAATTTATATTAAAAATAAACAATATAATATACGAAAAACAAAATGGTGTATGAATTCATTTGAATATAAAAAAAACAAAAACAGGTGTAAACATTTTTGAACTCACCAATAACAATGAGAAAGAAACTCTCTCTGATCGCACTGTTGATCCATAGTTCATAAACTCCAGCATGTTCAGTTGTGGTGTTTGTGATGGTCAGAGATCCAGTTTGATCGTCCAGCTTCAGTCTGTCTCTGAATCTCCCATCAAGAACATCATCATATACAGTGAATCTGTCGGCCGTTACATTGATTTCTGCTATTAAAGTCTTTCCATCTCCAAACATCCACTGAATCTCATCATTATCCTTTATTTCAGTGAGATCAGAGTTTAGAGAGACTGAATCTCCCTCCATCACTGACACTAACTTCACTTCATCTGTCAAACACACAGAGAACAAACAGAAACAGGGTTTATCACAGATTAATACTGTTAAATCACTTTATAATGGTTTACTAAATTGAATACTTTAAAATTTATATTAAAAATAAACAATATAAAATACGCAAAACAAAATGGTGTATGAATTCATTTGAATTAAAAAAAAAATAGGTGTAAACATTTTTGAACTCACAAATGACAGTGAGAAAGAATCTCTTGATCTCACTGTTGATCAGTAGTTCATAACGTCCTTCATGTTCAGTTGTGATGTGTGTGATGGTCAGAGATCCAGTTTGATTGTCCAGCTTCAGTCTGTCTCTGAATCTCCCATCAAGAACATCATCATATACAGTGAATCTGTCGGCCGTTACATTGATTTCTGCTATTAAAGTGTTTTCATATCCAAACCTCCACAGAATCACATCAGCATCCTTTATTTCAGTGAGACCAGACTTTATAGAGACTGAATCTCCCTCAAACACTGACTTCAGTCCTGAATCACCACACACACACGCACATGCACACACAAAGAACAAACAGAAATAGGGTTCGTCACAAATTAACACAATCATTTGATGGTTTATAAAAATAAATATGGATATCATCATCAAACTTCAAAAGCAAAAAAAAAAAACAGTTTAAATTATTAATGGTATATTTGTGATGATTAAAATATAAAACAAGTGAAATAAATTTTTGACTCACCGAAGACATTGAGACTGAATCTCTCTCTGAACACACCGTTGATCAGTAGTTCATATTCTCCTTCATGTTCAGTTGTGGCGTTTGTGATGGTCAGAGATCCAGTTTGATTGTCCAGCTTCAGTCTGTCTCTGAATCTCCCATCAAGAACATCATCGTATACAGTGAATCGGTCGGCCCGTTGATTGATTTCTGCTATTAAAGTGCGATTAAACCTCCACTGAATCACATCATCATCCTTTATTTCAGTGAGATCAGAGTTTAGAGAGACTGAATCTCCCTCCATCACTGACACTGACATTGGCCTAAAACCATAATCACAAACCACTCCTAAAGAACAGAGTTTTTCACAGATTAAAGCTTTAAAATCTCTTGTTTTTGGTTTGATGAAGTTCACTAAAATACTTTTAATCATTTAAATGTGAAATTAATAATTCTGCAGCAGTGCAAAGATAAAAGATGATGAATGAAAAGAGAAATATATTGGGTATAATATAAAAATACACTTTTACTGAACTGTTTAACGTCACACTAAAACTAAAGCTGTTGATTATCTGAACTTCATATTTACAATCAATCCATAATAACTGAGTTTTCAGCTGAATTGAAACTTGATCTGACAGTAAAATCACAGTTAAATTATTTCTATGAGAATAACAGTGAATGTTGATCCTCCTCGACTAAACTAACCAGACATTTATTACATGATACCAGAACAGAAACAACTGAAGTCATAAAAACACATTAAACTCACCATCCAGACGCCAGAAACACAAGCAGAGCAAAACAGGGAGAAACATCTTCATCAGTTTCAGTCCACAAATATGAAAAGACAAACTCTTCAAAACTGATAAAATGACAGACGTGCTGATGTGAAGCTGCTCTGTAGAGTAAAGTGGAGTGAAACTCTACAATCAGATAAAATATCTATAAGTGTTAATGCATGTGACCGTCTAACTCTATTTCTGATGATTATTTCACACTTTGATCATTGACACTTTGAGCTCCTGTACGCCTCAACTTCCTGTCAGTCAACAGTGTGACATTCAACAGAAAAACACTGACCTATGACATGTTAAAAACATCTTAAAGCAACAGTTTGATCTTGTCTTGATTTCCTGAGAGTGTTTGTCTCTGCTCTCTCCTGTAACTCTCTTCAGGACGTTTGTTCTTCATTTCTGATCAAATGTCTGGATTGTTTCTCCTCTCAGACTGATCTCAGAGTTTCTCTAATGGTTCTCTAAAACGCCCACATAACTCAAACTAATGCTGTTGGGTATTTGAGCTTCATAGGCCTATTTATTTTACATTATTTTATTTAATTATAACTAATAACTGAGTTGTAAGGACTATGCCAGGACTCAACACAACCCCCCCCCCCCATGATAAAACAAGGATCGTGGGAAATGTAGTTCCAGAAGTGAATGACACAGTGGGGAAGGAGGACATCTAGTGGACAAAGAAGGGAACACATCCAGACACGGTGAAGACCCCTCGGGTGGCCAGGGCGGTGAAGACCCCTCGGGTGGCCAGGGCGCTGAAGACCCTTCGGGTGGCCAGGGCGGAGAAGACCCCTCGGGTGGCCAGGGCGGTGAAGACCCTTCGGGCGGCCAGGGCGGTGAAGACCCCTCGGGCGGCCAGGGCGGTGAAGACCACTCGGGTGGCCAGGGCGGAGCAGACCTTTCGGGTGGCCAGGGAGGTGAAGACCCCTTGGGCGGCCAGGGAGGTGAAGACCCCTCGGGTGGCCAGGGCGGTGAAGACCACTCGGGCGGCCAGGGCGGTGAAGACCACTCGGGTGGCCAGGGCGGAGCAGACCTTTCGGGTGGCCAGGGAGGTGAAGACCCCTTGGGCGGCCAGGGAGGTGAAGACCCCTCGGGCGGCCAGGGCGGTGAAGACCACTCAGGTGGCCAGGGCGGAGCAGACCCTTCGGGTGGCCAGGGCGGAGATGCTCTCTCAGGAGCAGGCACCGGCTCGGGACCAGACACCGGCTCGGGAACAGGCACTGGCTCTGCCTCCGGCTCTGGAACAGACACCGGCTCGGGAACAGACACCGGCTCTGGAACAGACACCGGCCCGGGAACAGACACCGGCTCTGGAACAGACATCGGCTCGGGAACAGACACCAGAACTGCAACAGCCACAAAAACAGACACAAACACAGGAACAAACACTGGAACTGGCATTGGCTCTGCTTCCGGCTCCGAAACAGACACTGGCTCTGCCTCCGGCTCTGGAAAAGGCACTGGCTCTGTCTCCAGCTCTGGAACAGGCATTGGCTCTGCCTCCGGCTCTGGAATAGCAGCCACCGGCTCAGGAAGAGCCACTAAAATGGAAATCATCACAAGGACAGACACAAACACAGAAACAAACACAGGGTCCAGAACCGACATGGGCTCCAGCTCTGGAACAGGCATAGGCTCTGCCTCTGGAGCAGGCATTGGCTCTACCTCTGGAACAGGCATTGACTCTGCCTCAGGTACTGGAACAGCAAAGACTGGCATCTCCAAGATCTGAGCCAGTCGCTCCAGATAGTCCGTCACAACCTTGGCGGCCACGCCAAAGGGGATCTCTGAACAGTCTCTCGCTTGGCAGACGGGACGTAAACAGTCTCTCGCTTGGCAGACGGGACGTAAACAGTCTCTCGCTTGGCAGACGGGACGTGAACAGTCTCTCGCTTGGCAGACGGGACGTGAACAGTCTCTCGCTTGGCAGACGGGACGTGAGCAGTCTCTCGCTGGGCAGACGGGACGTGAGCAGTCTCTCGCTTGGCAGACGGGACGTGAGCAGTCTCTCGCTTGGCAGACGGGACGTGAGCAGTCTCTCGCTGGGCAGACGGGACGTGAGCTGTCTCTCGCTTGGCAGACGGGACGTGAACAGTCTCTCGCTGGGCAGACGGGACGTGAGCAGTCTCTCGCTTGGCAGACGGGACGTGAGCAGTCTCTCGCTTGGCAGACGGGACGTGAGCAGTCTCTCGCTGGGCAGACGGGACGTGAGCTGTCTCACGCTGGGCAGACGGGACGTAAACAGTCTCTCGCTTGGCAGACGGGACGTGAGCAGTCTCTCGCTTGGCAGACGGGACGTGAGCAGTCTCTCGCTTGGCAGACGGGACGTGAGCAGTCTCTCGCTGGGCAGACGGGACGTGAGCAGTCTCTCGCTTGGCAGACGGGACGTGAGCTGTCTCTCGCTTGGCAGACGGGACGTGAGCAGTCTCTCGCTGGGCAGACGGGACGTAAACAGTCTCTCGCTTGGCAGACGGGACGTGAGCAGTCTCTCGCTGGGCAGACGGGACGTGAGCAGTCTCTCGCTTGGCAGACGGGACGTGAGCTGTCTCTCGCTTGGCAGACGGGACGTGAGCTGTCTCTCGCTGGGCAGACGGGACGTGAGCAGTCTCTCGCTTGGCAGACGGGACGTGAACAGTCTCTCGCTTGGCAGACGGGACGTGAGCAGTCTCTCGCTTGGCAGACGGGACGTGAGCTGTCTCTCGCTGGGCAGACGGGACGTGAGCAGTCTCTCGCTTGGCAGACGGGACGTGAACAGTCTCTCGCTGGGCAGACGGGACGTGAGCAGTCTCTCGCTTGGCAGACGGGACGTGAGCAGTCTCTCGCTTGGCAGACGGGACGTGAACAGTCTCTCGCTGGGCAGACGGGACGTAAACAGTCTCTCGCTTGGCAGACGGGACGTGAGCTGTCTCTCGCTTGGCAGACGGGACGTGAGCTGTCTCTCGCTTGGCAGACGGGACGTGAGCTGTCTCTCGCTTGGCAGACGGGACGTGAGCTGTCTCTCGCTTGGCAGACGGGACGTGAGCTGTCTCACGCTGGGCAGACGGGACGTAAACAGTCTCTCGCTTGGCAGACGGGACGTGAGCTGTCTCTCGCTTGGCAGACGGGACGTGAGCTGTCTCTCGCTTGGCAGACGGGACGTGAGCAGTCTCTCGCTTGGCAGACGGGACGTGAACAGTCTCTCGCTTGGCAGACGGGACGTGAACAGTCTCTCGCTGGGCAGACGGGACGTGAACAGTCTCTCGCTGGGCAGACGGGACGTGAGCAGTCTCTCGCTTGGCAGACGGGACGTGAACAGTCTCTCGCTTGGCAGACGGGACGTGAGCAGTCTCTCGCTTGGCAGACGGGACGTGAACAGTCTCTCGCTTGGCAGACGGGACGTGAGCAGTCTCTCGCTGGGCAGACGGGACGTGAGCAGTCTCTCGCTTGGCAGACGGGACGTGAACAGTCTCTCGCTTGGCAGACGGGACGTGAGCAGGCTCTATAACTTAATTGAGCTATTTGATTTTGCCTGTC